TACCCACAAAACACACAGCCACTTTACCCGATATCCTGTGAAGCACTTTTGGGATGACCTCCCGACAAGAAAGGCGCTAAATCAAATTGTAAGTATTATTATTATTATTTTATGGACTCCCCACCCACCCTCCTCTCTTCCCCCCCCCTCCCCTCCCCCCACTCCCCCATTTAAAACTTGGGTTGCCCCAAGCTGTTCTTGTTCACCCTGAACTTCTGCAGTGGATTGTGGAACGCCATTGAGAGAGGCTTGGGAAAGGCTGTACAGCTCATTTTCACTAAGACAGTAAAGAATAGGGAGGAGGGATAACAGTAACATTGCGCTGGGCTGGGAGGCAGATGAGTTGCTTTAGTTTATGAATGATTGGTGACTCCCTGCCACATCCTTTCCATCTTTCTTGTCGCAACTTGCATTGAACTCTTAATTCCTTTCAGGGGTTGACTCAGGATTTATTAAGTACCAGTGAAAAAAAAATTTAGACGGAGTTGGATTGAGTCTGAGGGGAAGGGCAGTGGACCTCTGTGCAAACTTGCCTTATGTATTTTGGTCAGCTGTTATACATGCTGAGGCTTATTGGTATGATTATTCAACTGAGAGTTCCTTGCATCTTCACACGGAACTCCCTTTTTCTGAATATGCACTCTGCCCCTAATGGGACACACCCTACTTAGCCAATTTCCAATAGTATTCAGCACAGAGCCAAGGCTTGGGGACCGTAGAGTGTGCGTAGGGGTTATTGCATAGGAACTTAACCAACAAAAACCCACATAACTTGCCATTGGAAGAACCGTGTGGCAAGCTAGCTTCCTGCTGATTATCCAGCTAGGACCACCCTACCCATTGGGGTAGAGCTTGCAGGAATAACAGGAACTGAGTGGGAAGAATCCCTGCCCCCAGTGACTGGTCTGCCCCTCCCAAGTCCTGCCGATGAGCCAGGCTGGTTGTGCTGTCGTCAGCAGTGCTCTGGAATACTGTGGACTTGCCTGGCTCAGGACCTGGATGACTGAGACTGAGGCCACAGGGTTGAAGGGACTCGGTTTGAACATTCTCTTGCCAAGAGTGTGTGAAGTTCACCACCATGTAAATCCAATTACATGTTACACTGTGCACATGTGGGTTATTCCACTAACACACACACACAATCACCTGACCTCTTTTTACCACTGTCCATGTACATTAAAATAACCGTTTATTGTACCTTGATTTTGAAGAATTGTTCACTGTTATTCTGCAGCGATCACCATGGATTCTCACAGTTTGCAGAAAATCTATCCCGACTCTGTTTAATATTCAGCAGAATATTTGTATTCCGTTAGCGTTAGGAGAAATCGTGCTCATCTGTTAAAGATATCCGCTTGGGTAAGATTTTGCAGGCTGATCAGAACCACAACGCAAGATTGAAACGGGCTTCAGAAGAAGGGAGAAAATTCAGTGACAATAGATTGAGTTATTGTTCACTGTAACTGGATTGGTTTCAATTTGCTCTAAAGGTGATGATGATGATAATAATAATATCTGCATTTGGTATAGGCCTTATTACGCCATTGAGATGTCTCAAAGCGCTTCACAGGATACATTGTAAAGTGGATCGACTGTGTATTTTGTGGGCGAAACGCGGCAGCCAATCTCAGGTACTTGGTAACATGGCACACTATACATTTTTACTGAATGCTGTATTTTTCAGACGCTGTCCAGCTGTGTGAGGCGTTGCAGTGCCTGGCGGATCCCTACTGATCCCTACGAGTGACCCCCCTTGTGTCTGCCCTCATTTCATCGTCTTGCAAATATCCCAGGCAGAAGCTCGCTTCCTTAGGGACGTCAGTGGAATTCCGTTTGATTTCACGACTGTCAAGGCCTTCAGCATGGGTTGTGTGATGTGTTCCCCTCTGATCGAAATGTGGAGCATCTCTAAGGAGCAGAGGAGGAACAATTGTTTGGAGCTGTCGGTGTTCCCCGGCTCCTGTCTCTCGCAATACCAACGGGTGTCTGGATTGCATTACGTGTCTTCCTTCTCAGACGCAGAGGATTGCTGTGAGGATGCCTCTTTGTCTGATGGCTCAGACTCCGAGGTGACGTGACCGGATCAGAACCAGAATGCTCCTAAATAACACGTTGCAAAAAAAAAATGTTGGGGTGTGGGATAAATGTCTTTGGGTGATGATTTGCGCCCAAATGTTTTTAACTCTTAATTGGCTTTGTTCCCTTTACTCTGTTAGACGATAGAAATAACGCAGACAAAAAAACAGTCTCCTGTAAGCAGAAGTTATGTCAAACGGTGTGTTATTATGAAGGATTGAACAAACTGCTGGTGAAATAAATTGATAATAAAATAAATTGCAAACCACAAAGAGCGGTTCGGATGCACAAGTCCCTTCAACCCATTTGATCTAATCCATCCAGGACACTATGTAAAGCCTCTTTCCATTACAGCATCTATCTGTTTCATCAACACATCCTATGTCTTGACCTCAGCCATCCCTCCGTTCCAGTTGTTCATTATATACTCTGTGTAAAGAAATACTTCCTGGTGGTCTCTTGCCTGGCTGATTTTGTGTATCTGAAGATATTGTTCCTGGTTCTTTAGTATTTGGTATCTAATGTACCTCCAAATATTACAGAATGTTCACAAAGTCCTGTTACCCCATGTTTTTCTTGATATAGTGCACTGAGCCACCCCTGAAACATGTGGCAGAATGCTGATCATTGTATTTAGACGTACTTTGTTGTACTCAGCACAAATGTTTAACTGACGAGACATTGTTACACTCGACTCGTCTGCAACGGAAAACGAAAAATCATTGTTGGAAGAAAAGGGTGGGGTAACAGGACTTTGTGAACACCCTGTAGAATTTCCTGATAAATCGCCAATTCGTAGCTAATTGCTGCGCTAACTGAGATCTGCTAAGTCATCTTGGAGCTAGACTCAAGTGACCTTCTGGTGTGAGTGTGAGCTGGACCTGCCCTTTATTGTGCAGCACTAATCCTTGCAGCAGACCTTTACCCTCCATCCTATGCAGTACACAACTGCTGCGCAGACCTTCCTTCAGTGTGTTATTGCGGTTCAGCCAGTTGCTTTGGTATGGAAACCTGAACTGATTAAAACACCCACTACTGGTGTCAGTGCTGGCAGCCGGCACCTGGTACAAACAATCACTGGAAGAATTCAAGACTGGCTGAAGCTCACAAACCATATACAGTGATGATGGGAATGTCTCTTCCAAACATTTCTTCTGGTCTGGAATGTTAAATAGCTAAGTCAAACTGGTCTGCGGTCCTGTCTTCTCTTCAACCGTGCCTTCAGCTCCCCTCTCGACTCTCTACCCCCTCCTCGCTCTCTCCCTTCCCTCTCCCTGACCATTTCCCCCCTGCTCGGGTCCCGACCCAACTGTCCAGCACCTTGGGACGTCCTCCCGGCGTGAAAGGCGCTCTATAAATGCAATCTTGTTGTTGTCTACATTCTCAACTCTATCGCATACAACACCCACCCCACACGACATAGAGGGCATCGATTGCAGCTCAAAATGAGCTTCAAATGGAGATGGGACACCAGTCTTTTTTTATATAGTAAATCATTAGGTTTGGTAATAAACGATCAACTCTTGTTGATGTTTACTATCAACTATCGACCTTCCTCTTCAACTGTGCCTACGGTCACCTTTCCCTTCCTCCCTGGCTCGGCATTGGGCTCCGCCACTGTTAAGCGCTCCGAGATGCTGTCCGGGGTGAAGGGCGCTATATGAATGCAAGTTGTTGTTGTTGTTGTTCACCCTACCATTTTGTGGAGGAAAAAGCTCTAGTTGCTGAAGCCTATAAACTTTGGCGTTTGTCAATTCTGCCAACTGGAACGTTATTGTAGGGGGAAAAAAATTGACGCCATTATTAGAGATGCGGGAACTCTGCCTGACATTTTCCATTCATAGATTCAGACCACTGAGGTCAGTCGCATGATTCCTATTGCCACCTCAGGCGAGATCACCTAACTGAACTGGATCCAATCTAGTAGTATCTAAACAGCTCCAGCTGGGGGGACCAGCCCTTGAACAACAATAACATGGATATGGAAGACTTGTAATAATGTTGTACTTGGCTGTGACAGCGTTGGGCTTTAATGCCTTTCCTGATCAAATATCCTACCAGTACTCCCTGTTCTCACTGTACATACAAAGAATGACTGTTTGGAACAGGTAGTGGGAATTTAGAGGGTTGGGGACGTCGTTCTGATGTGAAGGGGGCTATACAAGTGTAAGTTGTTGTTGTTGCCCGCCCACCCCCCCCCAATCTAAGTTCTGACCTAGAGGGGAGTTTCTCCCAATGTCCTGGTCAACAATCCTCCAGATACACTGACCATTCAACTCCTGGTTATGTGTGTGTGTGTGTGTGTGGGGGGGGGGGGTGGACATTTGCTATGAGCAAATTGGCTGCTGCATTGATCTACAAAAGCTCTCATCAGCAATTACTGTAAAGGAGTATTGTTTGTAGAAAGGAGAGAGAGATTTTGTAGTTTTTTTTTCTCTCCAGGATATTCCCTTTTTAGTCGAATCGCCAATTAATGCGAGAGAGAGAATGCAAAGATTATGCAACAAACAGCGCAGAGTACGGATTTATACGGTGACCTGCTACGAGGGCTAAAATAGACTGGAATATTTTAATACGTATCTTGAAATTACAAGTACTCCAGGCAACGACTTACTCTGACATTCACACTGGGGTTAGTGCCAATGGAAAATTACACTTTGAGCTCATGGCATTTGCCAATTGTCCAGATTTTATTCCAAAAATTTGCAACAAAAACAACCATCCCCCCACCCCACACAGATTCTATCACATACACAATCTATCACACACAGACTCGAGCACACCCACATACACACACAGACTCTCTCACACCCACATACTCACACAAACTCTCTCACACACACACATACATATACATACATACATACATACATACATACAGACACACAGACTCGAGCACACCCACCATACACATACACACTCACACACACATGCACACAGACTCTTATCACACACACATATACGCACACGACAACTAGCTTTAAGTCAGACTGGTTTGCTCTGCAGTGGCTGAGATCAGTACTTGCACAATCCTCGGAGAGAGAATGAAACCGTTAAGTAAAAGTGAAGAGTGGAGGCGGTGCTCAGCGTTTTTGCAGATCAGGTGGAGAATTCGCCTGTGAATAAGAGAGCAGTTGTAGTGTGGAACAGACTGTGTGACACAGTCCAGGGCAGTGCTTTCTCTCTCACTGTCTGTTTATTTATCTGTCTGTCTGTCTGTCTGTCTCTGTGTGTGTGTGACCCTTCGTGTCAATTTCGCTCCCAGTGCCCCGGGTGATCTGTCAGCATCTCTGAACACTATTATGAACAACGAGGTTTTCGCGTGTTTTACCTTTTACAGCACCCTTTTGGTGGTGAAAATGTACATCGTGGCTATCATCACAGGGCAGCTGAGACTCCGCAGAAAGGTGAGCAGTTTTTATTCCAATTTTTATTGCAACAGCCCACACACTGGCTATTTCAACTTTTTTTCTTTTAAAACTCTTAACTTGTGTATGTGTGTGTGTTTTTTTTTTGTACTCTTTATATTATTGACAAAGCTCGACCCGTTTAGTTCCTGATAATTGCAAGAGATTGGGTACATTTGTTTGTGGGGGGTGTGTGTGTGTGTGGGTGTTGTGTGAACTGTACGATTGTACTTACAGCAAAGTTGTCTGTGCCTTTAGAAGTTGTGAGTTTTATCCCAGTTTTACTCGTGGGAAAACACAGAAAAGTTTCAATGGATTGTTTTTTTAAAAAAAAAGCAGCACTTTTTTTTTCTGTTCTCCCCAAAACGTAGGACTTTTTCTAAAATATGTTTGTGTGTTAGTTTTGGACATGAATGGAGTGCCTCAGCTTCCATAAGAGGACTCATTATCCTCACTGCAGTTCTAATGATAATATTTATGGTCATGTTATTGCAATTGACGCAGCCAAGTGTCTGATCGTGGCTTCGAGACCTCTCTCAAAGCGCTTGGCAAGTCACGCTGTAAAGTGAATCGACTGTATATTTTGTGGGCGAAACGCGGCAGCCGATCGCGCACAGCGGCGTTCCCACACAAACAGTCGTGGATTGAAGCGACCAAATTATTAGTATTATTTTTTAAACGAAGGACCGGGGCTGGTTGATGCTGATCGATCATTAAAAATCGCAGATGGCATTAAGTTGGGTGGGTGGGGGCGAGAGATAAATGGACATTGGAATCAGAGGAGGTAGCTAAGAACTTTTAACGTGAGCTCCGGAGGGTGTACACCTGGGCTGGTCACTGACAGAAAAAATTCCGAGTGCAGGTTATTGCACAGCGTAAATTTAAAAAGATTAGACACAGGTTGCCAAGGGGGACAGAGACTATCGATCGGCTTTCCCCAAAACGTGTCCCAACAGTGTGAGGCAGCAATGAACAAGGCAGACAACATGCTGGGCTACATTGCAAAAATCTGTCGAGTTCCCAAGTTATGCTGTGATCCGTGCTCTAGAATGCCGGTCACATTTACCTCTGGTCCCTGTGACATTACCATGAGTTTAGGCAGGTTGTTTATTATAATAACAATAATGATAATACTTGCATTTGATAAAGAGCCTTATCGCGTCATTGAGACGTCTCAGACGTCTGCTGCACAGAATCTATTATAAAGTGCATTGAGTCTGAATGTGTATATCTTACGCCTTGAAAAGAGATGTCTCCAAAGAGGCTTTACAGAGGTATGTAAGATGCTTAACAGACCAGAGAAAATAAACCCAGAATGATAACCCCTGTTCCAGATACAGGCAAGTTTCCCTGCGTAGGTGGTACACAAATGTGGAATTCTTAGCTTAGTTTCAATACTCTTCAGTGTTTGTCAGACACCCGGCTGATCACCCCCCAGCCCCCCCCCAAAAAGGTAACTGCATTCTCTAAGAGGATAAAGTTCATGAGAGAAACTCGGAATGTTGTTCGGCTGGCAGAAGGCGGGAGAAATTTTCAGAAGATCTTTAAGTCAGGAAAAGCAGTCTGCAAAGCTCTCGTCGGGAGAATGGTAGTGGAAATGTCTCTCGTGCCAACATAGATGTCTTGGATCACGGAATCCATCTCCTGCAGAGAGAGCTATGCATGTCAAGCTGACTTGGCAGGTTCTTTCAGGAAGGATTTGGTTCGGATTTCTGACTATGAAACAGTGAGACTGTGGCTTATTAACTCTGAAGAAATCCGTCATGTAATGGCTCCATTGGTTGCACTGCCAAGTTATTGCTGGTCAACAGTTCCCCCCTCCGCCCCCCCTCCCCAAATAAAATTGGTCGCTCACTCCATGGCTGTTTGTGGTACATTGCTGTGTGCAACTGGCTGCTGCGTTTTGCCCATAAAATACACAGTCAATTCACTTTGCAGTATATCCTTTGATGCGCTTTGAGATGTCTCAACATCGTGATAAGGCGCTGGTTCAAATGCAAGAATTCTTCTTATTATTATTGTTGTTATTTACCTTCTGAATGTTTGACATGATTCCTTCACTTCCCACCAGGCTTTCACTAACCCAGAAGATGCTCTGAGACACGGTGGGAAGCAGTATTATCGGGACGACCCTGATGTGGAGCGAAGCCGCAGGTATATCTTTTGTCAATCTGTTAACCTAAGGTGACCGGTTCAGATTCTGGTCTGTGGCGAGTGCTCTGGTCTCAGACGGGGCTACAGATAAGCCTCAGGAATCCTGGACTTGGGACAGGAGATTAAGCCAGAGTTCCAACTCCTGATTGCTGTTCATATACCCACATCTATGGCTTGCCAAACGCCAATGGAATTGGGCATCACTCTGCTGCTTCGTCAAATAACTCGCTGACACTCATTGTAAAGGCTCTCACATAAATATGATCTCTTGGATGAGATCCTGGCGGGTACGTCCGTGTTCGTGGAACCCAAGTAAAATTCCTTCAAAAAAAAATTCAAATTAATAATAAATTGGTCACTCAATGCACTGTTTGTGGGACGCTGCTGTGCGTAATTAACTGCTGCATTTCGCCCACAAAATATACAGTCTATTCACTTTACAGTATATTTTGTAAAGCGCTTTGAGGCGTGTCGAAGACGTGTTAAGGCACTATATCAAATGCAAGGATTATTATGTTATTAAAATGAAGGAAAGGAGACATTTGGAGGAGAACAAAATTATTTTTTTTTTAAAAACTTGGAATATTCGGTGACATGGTGGACTGAACGGCCTTCTTCTGTGCTATAAATTTCTATTTGCACCCTGTTCCGCCTCCCAGCCCTGGAAATACAATACAATTTACATTTATATAGTGCTTTTCACATCGGGAGGGATATCTCATTCCACTGGGCTGAAGCTAAACATCCACTATCAAGGCAAAGCCATCATAGTGTAAAGTTTCATTTGAAATCTCGACTGTGATACGATACACTTGAGGATCAGATTATTCTCGAGCCTTGTTACACAGCATTCCATTAATCTGAGAAAAAATTGAGCTGAAAATTTTCTTTCCCCAAGAGACACGAGTTCCCAGCCTGAATACCAGAATGAGCATTTCCTGCGAATCTTGAGAGACCATCTGTGAGGCTGGTTGTTGCTGTTGTTAACCTACTGTTTTTTATGTGTGTGTGTGTGTGTGTGGGGGGGGGAGAGGTTTCTCTCAAGGTTTCGTCAAATTGATGACATGCAAGGTGCTACATAAATGAAATTCTACCTTGATTCCGTCATTCTGCCCTTGACCTGTAAATGTTCTAGTTATAAAGTTTCAAGTTACTGAAACAATTTCAAGCCAAAAACTTTTTCCTGAAAAGATCGCATCTTACGTGTCTTTTGTTCCATAATCTGTGCTCAGTTGACAGCTTGTTCCAAAGGAAATGTGAAATGACTGGAGTATTTTTACATGTCGGGATCTGGATAAACAGGATAGGGAAATAACACCCTTCGAGATTTCATAACACAAACAATATTTTTTTAAAAAATGCAATAACACCAAGTGGCTGTGAAAGCAGCAATGCAAGAAATATGAAGCTATTAAATAATCCTTGCATTTGATATAGCACCTTATCACGCCTTCGAGACGTCTTGCAGCGCTTCGCAGAATATACTGTAAAGTGATTTGGCTGTAAATTTTGTGGGTGAAAAAATATGTGTTTGATTTGGGTCTTAAAAGTATGTGAACATCACGTGCGAACAGTTGACTAGGGCCCCTCGCTCTTCCAGCACTGAACTTTGCTTCATTATAAAATGGCACAGGGATGTTTAAGTCAGTTTTTCCTCTTTCCTGTGCTTTCCAAAAATGGAAAAAAAAATTGTGGTTCCCAATCTCATTCTTCCCCAGTCGCGGGAGTAAGTCTGCCAGAGAGACAAAACAGAGACCATTTCGAGTTCAATATTTCATAAAGTTTTCAGACAATTGTTTCAGCAGCTTTGTGTTTTGACTGTTGCTAACTGAAGCAAATTTATTCACCATTTACGGCGGAGCGTGTAAGGGAAGAGTATCGTGGGTGTTCTCAGTATGGCACGAGGAGAAAGCACAGACTCTGACACTACTAATAGAGGTCTGAAACTTGCAGTCACAAACAAACACACACCACAGGATTGGGAAAGAAAAATTGCAATGCATCTGGCTGCTTTCAAATAATTCTGTATCATCTCTCTTAACCTTCAAACAATTTCCTTTCCCCTGATTTTGCCAACAGAATCTGATTTCACCACAATCTTGACTAATTTGTTCCACATTAGAGTACGCACTCGCTGCTCTTTGGGTAAAGTAAGTAAATCTAAACTCTCTGTTCAAAAAGGCATGAATCGCCTACGTCTCTACAGCTCACATTCACTCTGAATACTGGCTTCACCAGCTGGTGAGTAGCTGAACAGTTGAGCATCCCCTTTATTGGCTGTATAATTAATGCACATGTTTGCTCAGTACCATTAAAATGCCAATAAATCCAATTGCCATGGTGACTGCAAACCAGTTCAGAAGACTGGCTATTAGAGCTTTTGAAGTGTCCTTGCTCATAACCATTCGGTCAAGATATTTTAAATAAATGTATTCTTATTAACTATAAAAATACTAATCCTCATGTTTGATGTAGTGCTTTTCATGTCGGGCGGACGTCTCAAATGTGCTTCACAGGATGTACAGTACTGTAAAGTGGAGTGACTGAGTGTTTTGCCGTTGGATGAGATATTTTGGCAACGATTGTAAATTGAATGAGAAAGAGAGGTTAATTTTTGGCCGTGGAACCTCTGCAGTCACTGGGAAAACATTCCCAGGTTTATTACTCAAACATTCGTAAACCTAACAACGTGGCCACAGCAGTGGATTGTGATCGTGAGCCGACAGCTTTTAACTTGTTGGGATGTGGATTCTGACCGACTGTCTGCTTCATTCTGTTAACACGGAATAAACCATCCAGTCCCACGAGCAGTTTTATTCTGGTGCTTGATCTTGAAACATTTTAATAATAATAATCATCCTTGCATTTGATGCAGCGCCTTATCATGCCTTCCAGATGTCTCAAAGTTCTTCACAGAATGTAAGGTGAATTGACTGTATATTTTGTGGGTGAAATCAGAGTTTTTCTGCTTTGGTTGCCCTTATTAGAAGCCTTCCTGGGTGATAAATGGAATGCCCTGCTTAAAATCATCATGTTGTCTCTCCACAGACATCTCAAAGACATGATAAGGCGTTACATCAAATGCAAGGATTATTATTATTATTACCCTCCCGCAGGTTAAAGTCCTCCTCAGAATCTCGCCCAAGTGACCATTATTCACATGCGAGCCTTAATGGTGAGCTATTGACTGTGGGGAACATTGTAAAGGCCTGCCACACAATCACAACTTCCAGCAGGAGCGTGTCTAGAAAGTGAATAGGAACGGTAATTACTGTCTGATATTTCTCCCTTCCTTAATGCATTGGGTATTGCGACCAATTGCAATGTCTCCACTGAGTCTATCCGTCGATTGTGCCTTGGACCGGAGTATGGCTCAGCTATTCACTGAATAGCTCACTGTGCTATTGCAGAGACTTGAATATAACTTCCAGAACTGTCTGACGCTCAGCCATATGCACCCACCAAGTGAAAGAGCTTTCCTGAGTGGGATGGAAGCTTACAGGACGAAACTGCCTTTTCGAAATTTTTCGTTATGCAGGAGTAAATGAATAACATGTGCGATCAAAGCTGAAAACTTTCAAGAGTATTTCCTGTTGTTTTAGAACTGACCAAAAATGTATTTGTCAAATATTTTCACCTTGATCTGTATCTGTCTTTATTTCCATTTCATTTCTATTTACCGTAGTTACTCTGAGAGTGTCACAAGCTAAACAAGATCACAAATTGCACTGCCTGAAGCTATGGTTGAAGCCGAAAGCATTAACGTATTTGGAAATTTGATGCACACTTGACGGAGAATGGGAGAGGGGATTCAGAAGGGTGGAGGCTCATGAGCAGTATAAACACCAGCACAGACTGGTTGGGCCAAATGGCCTGTTTCTGTGCTGTAACATTGAATCCACGACTGTTTGTGGGACACTGCTGTGCGCAATTGGCTGCCGTTTCCACCCACAAAATGCACGGTCAATTCACTTTACATTCTGGGATGCATCCTTGCATTTGATATAGCGTCTTATCACGTCTTCCAGACGTCTCAAAGCCAATTGCACACAGCAGTGTCCCACAAACAATGGTGGATCGAGTGACCGAATTATTATATTTTTAAGGGATTATTACCCCCGGAAAAGCGATCCGCCATTCGCCTACCAACTGGGTTCCCACTTAATGTTATCTATTATTATCCATTGAAAAATAACTATTATCAATGATGTAACCAATTCATCTTATCTCCCCTCCAACCCAGAGCCCACCGCAACGATATGGAGAACATCTTTCCCTTCCTCTTCCTTGGTGCTGTCTACTCGCTGATGGAACCCAATCTGTTTGTTGCACGGATTCACTTCCTGGTTTTCTTCGTGGGCCGGCTGGTGCACACTGTCGCCTACCTTTTACCTCTTAAAGCGCCAACACGATCAATAGCTTACAGCATTGCACAGATCCCTTGTGGGTCCATTGCCCTTCAGATTTTGTTCAATGTAGCAACCAACTGGTAAAAGTCAGAGCCAACTCATATCACCACCACAACCGATAGAGATGCGGATAAACAGATGCCCATGATTGATACACAGACTGGCAATGCACAATCATCATAAAATGGTATCTTCACAGACTTGCGAAATGAATGCATCATGCACATGACACAGATTGAGTCTTCTTCCGGAGTTGAATGTTACGGGAGACGCTGTAAATGATTTAATTTGAGCTTAATTCAGCCTTTCGGTCACAAAATATACAGTCAATTCACTTTACGGTATATTCTATGAAGCGCTTTGAGTCATCTCAAAGATGTGATAAGGTGGTATATCAAATACAAGCATTATTTTTATTATTATTTCAGTCTTAAGCTATTGCTAGAATATTTAATGTTTCTGGGATCTATATATATATATAAATATATTTCACAGATCCTGTTATTTTTAATTGGGTTGTTGAAGCACTTTGCCACCTGCATCATGGAAATGGTTGGAGACCTGAATTCAAAACGACATCTCTATCAATGGTTGAAAAGAAGGGATGACTCCAACAAGTAAAAAATAAATATTCCAGTGTGGATGGTTCAAATGTCAAACACCTGAAGTTTTAGTAAAATCTACTTAGTGCATTATGGCGCTTTTCTAGCACCTTGGGACGTCCTCCCGACGTGAAAGGTGCTCTCTAAATGTAATTTGTTGTTGTTTTGATGTTTTTTGATAAGTTTTTAAATGCTTATGTACTTTGGACTCCTGTCATTCCGAGTTGGCAATTTATACAAAGAAATGAAGGACCATTTACACTCTCACTCTCTGAAATGCCTTTACTGCTCACTTATGCATTTTTATGAACATTGCGTGAGGGCTGGTTGTGGCCTGAATAATCATCCAGTGCTCAGTCAAACCTCACCCCCGTGAATAATGTGTGAGGAAATGGCGAGTGGGTGGGAACCACATGAGTCAATGGTATCTGGAGAGGACAGGAAGAAAACCTGCCAGATTTAACCAACCTGAATGCATTCCACAAAACGTGGAAGTTACTGCTTCAGTGTTAAATTTCATTAAGAAGGAAAATCGACCAACCTGTTTCAATATGTTACATATTGACCCTTGTAATCTTTCGCACAAGTTTTGTTTTTATTGAAGTCTTATTAAAAAAAACACAAGGATACCAAACACAGTATTTTTTTTGCTTTGGTTTCTATATGAGAGATGATCACCTTTTGTTGTGTTTGGAGATGAATGCTCTACCAGAGTTACATTGGCTGTTGTGTGACAGTGAAGGACTTTTCATCATATCATGTGCGTTTCACCCACAAAACATACAGTCAATTCACTTCACAATAAATTCTGTGAAGCTCTTTGAGCTGTCTCAACGATGTGATAAGGCACTATATCAAATGCAAGGATTATTATTATTAATATCATATGTCCTGCACCTTTGCTAAGGTTACCTTATGAATCTATTATACAGTATGCCAGAAGATTGGTGTTGGAGCCATTTATGCAGTATACTTTTTGGAAAGTTCCTAGCATCACGTGAAGAGCTAACATCAACGATTACAAAACAACAACAGCAACTTACATTTGTACAGCACCTTTCACATTGGGAGGACGTCCCAAGGAGCTGGACAGTCAGGATTTGCACCTGAGCTGGGGGTTGTGTATGCAAAGGTATTGCATGCACAAAGTCCATTATGTTGGAGTGGCCCTGATCTTTGGATGTCAGGTTGGCTCAGTTGGTAGCACTATTGGAAACTTTTAAGGAAACTTGTCCAAGGTTTGGCCCTGCCCGGGAATTGAACCCGGGTCCTCTCGCTTGCGAGACGAGTGCTCTCACCACTACGCCGCTGGACTCTTATGCGTGAAGAAGTTTGTGAGGATTCAAAGTTCCAAGCACTTTCCTTCTGTTCCCAGTGAGGAATGTATCAGTTTGGCTCAGTTTCTCTGTTTACCAGAGCGACCGTAATATGCGTTAGGAGGTCCACCAATCCACAGGCAGAACGATTAGTCTAACAGACAGACCAGAAAATGTTCAGCATTCCTTTTCACTGCACCACCTTACTAAATCTCAGCCGTGGCTTCAGACCAGCAGGGGATGAAATGTTTAAACAAGTGACTGATTTGATAAATCAAAATCTGCCGGAGGAAGAGATTTGGTCGATAAAGTTATTGCGCAGTGTATATCTAAGCAACGCAGGACTGGATATGTATGTGTGCGCGTAGGGGATGAGAATTGGCCTGGAAAAAGGTCGAAAAAAATCGCCCAGAGTTTCCATTCCATTCCTGATTTATTTCTAGTCATTTTTGTTGGAATCTGTGAATCTGTAGACTGGAGCAGGCTCGGCTTTGATATTGACCTTTCCCTCATTCCACAGACCGTCCTGTGACAGGCCAGACACGATCCAGCATTTGTAGGTCCTGTTGCAACTCTTGCGATTTGGAGCTGATGGGACTCTGAAAGAAAACTTTTGACGTCAGTTCTCAGGCCCGCTTTTTAAACTTCTCCATGTGTTATTTTTGGAGATTTATGAGGAAAGCTGGTGGAAGATTACCAACATTCCTTCAAATTCAAACAGCGACGCGTGGGGAGGCTGGCACTGAGTGGACAAAGATTTTGTAGACTTGCCCACAACCTAAGAGTTGAAGTTCACACCTGCAACAACAACAACTTGCATTTATATAGCACCCTTCGCACAGGGTAGCATCCCAGAGCGCTTGACAGTGGCTGAGCACGACTCTGACCCAGGGGGAGGAGGGGAAGGTGACGGATCGAAGAGGAAGGTTTTCAGGCACACGACCTTGAAGATGGGGATAATGGTGGAGGGATAGAGGAAGAGTGCTCCATAGAGCCAGGGTGCAGTGGCTAAAGGCACAGCCACCAATGGATATTGTTCTTTATTGAAGAATTGCTTTTTTTTTTACAACTTTAAAGCTTTTGCATGTTTTTATTAGGGCCTAGGAACATCTTTCATGATGTAGAAAGCAGCCCTTACACAGCTATTGGTGTCTTCATAGTGTAAACATTGATTGCTGCAACTCAGCCTTTTGCGTTTGCAAGACATTGAAGGATATCAGATATCCTCATTTACTTAGAAATAGAAACATCCCTCTCCCCGAAATGACGAAAGACTACTTCTTATTACACTGCATTCATCATGTCTGACAGTAATTGAGGGGGTAGTTATGCAACATTTCATGACAGATGTAATAATCATCTGTAAATCAAATGCTCTTGTGTTTCATTTCAGAAGTCTTTAAAGGTTGTTTTTCCACCACTTGAGTCGAGGCCCAGAGGTCTGTGGAGCTGTCCTGCAGCATGATTATTTCATTGAAACAGATAAGTGATTGTTGGAAGATATGTGCTCCATGACCTTTGAAAGCTGGTGCTTGTTCCTCTGTAAAAAGTCAGTTTTTCTTGGAGGTGGTTCACTTACTGAAAACACGCACATCCAGAGTTATTGTTGCTGTGCTTTAATTGTCAGCTAGCTCAGTTAAAATACTGTGGGATATGCTTTTTCTTGTTTTATGTATTTCATTTTCAGAAAAACTTGCGACATAGCATGTTTGTGTACTTCTCTGCTCCAATTATCCTGCATTCGAGGCAAACCATCAGGTCATTTGGAATATTTTGTTGGTTAGGACACCGGGAGAAACTCTTACTCTTTTCGAATATGGTCAGGAAATCTTTAATGTCCACCTGAACAGGCGAAACAGACGTCTCAAAGCGCTTCACAGAATATATTGTAAAGTTAATTGACTGTATATCAGTGGGCGAAACGTGGTAGCCAATTGTGCACAGCTGTGTCCCACTCAGCTACAGAACTTTACTTAACTCGGCACATGCTGATGATTTAATCTGGCCTTGCAGCTGTGTATGTCTTCTTTTCATTCTGAGTGTTGGCTCCACCACTTAATCCACTGAGAGGAAGACCTTATTGTATGAAAACCCCTGAATATGTTTGCAAGGGAACATCTGTGCCTCCAGCAACTTCACGCGAATAATGAAAGTTTTTGAAAAAANCAAAGTCTGCTTACTTCGATTCTTGGCTGAATTTCCTTTTGCAAAACAAACTGACCAGGAGTTCCAGGAGACAGGAAAATATTCAAATGTCATACAGTATTAACTGCACCTTATTAGAGGTATGAGGAGCTGAAACAGATCTCAGAAGCAACTATTTCCCTGTCACAATAATAATCACTGCTAGATAAACAGAGGCATGTGGATATCTAGAGGATTGATGGCCAGGACACTGGGAAAAACTCCGAGAATACTCCCAACTGAGCCAGGCTGTATATTTTACAGTGCAGCACTATATTCTATCTTAAAGGAGTTTCGCTATTTCAAAAGAGCTAACCACTTCAAAAGAGCTAACTATGTTGACCACTTTAGAGATGGGTGAAGATTTCAGCTTTATAGCTTGAAGAGAGTATTGAGGATTTGGAGTAGGAGGAAAAAGGATCATCCTGGAATTATGACTGTAGGTTATTTTTCTCGCTAATTTTCCTCCTCCAATTTATTCCGCTCTTGCTCTCCTGTTTTTTTCCGTTGACTGAGGTGTGGTTCATGGGGCTCCCTTTGATTCCTTGCCAATGAGACTATTACTCATGAGACAACCTCAATGGTGTGTGTTGCAGAAGGTCCACATCTCTACAACCATATATTATATAGGATGAGACATGATTGCTGGTACTCTTACAATAGTCACACATAGTAATCTTCTGGGGTTTGAGTCTGGCCCACAAATACTTCTGAATCCTCAAATGATTAAGTCACAAGCTATGGAAGCTATGGAATAGCTTTGAATATCATAATCTCAATTTCTTTGGGTTTCATGCAGAATCGATGGCGAGTGACTCCTTCCTCCCTTCGAAGTCAGCCTCTCTCTCTCCTCCGAAGTTTGTCTGTGCTCTTCAAAGAAGGCCGATTCATGAACAAGCAACTGACAAAACTATTCTTTGTTTGGAATGACAGCAATTGCAGTGAAACACCTTATCGTATCTCACATAGGTGAACAGCAACAACTTGTATTGATATTGCGCCTTTCACATGAGGCAGCAACTGGGAGAGCTTGTGATTGAAGTCACTGCAATGGAATTGAGGTCTGATTGTTTTGACCTCTCTCTCACTCTGTCTCTCTTGCTCATGCAACACTTGAAGGAACCATCGATTGAAATTTATATTTAGTTTTAATTTTATGGTGAAATTATAGCTTGGGCTCCGGGTCACACGCAACATCACTGAAAGAAGGAAAGGTCACAATCATTCATTTTCAAATAGTTATTGTGTCCTCGGCAAGAAGCACCAATTAGTGCACATTTTATGTCACTAACTGTGGAGCAGTACATCCTTATATACTTCTACAAAGCTGTGTTATATCTTTCATAGGGCATTATATAGTAGAAGACGTCTACCTTACATTAAGAACTGTGATTAACATTGCAGTTGCAGCAATGAAGCTCAGTCAAAATAGCATCGCAATAGAACACATGATCTTAAGACGTTATGTTATTGATGACTTGAGCTGTTTATTTATTTAATATGTTGATATAAAAATGATAAAGTGACTTCCTAGCCGCTGTGATACAGATCAATCAAAGTTAGCATGTTCAGCTCAATTTATTTCTGATCCCCATTTAGATTATTTCTCTTGATAAAAGTGAAGTATTTGCTTTTTGTTTACCGCATTTTCTATCTCGATCATTCAATTCTCCTGACGTCCACTTAACACCTCTCCAAGAAAATATGGTTGACATCAAGATTTAAGACAATCTCTGATTCCCTCCACTAATTAATCCATGACATTGGTCTTTCTGCAAGCCAGCCCATCCCCACTAATTTAGATTTCTTCACATTTTTATTTGAATCATTTCCTTTCCATTCTCCTCACTCTTCCAGTAATTACAGTTACAGATACAGTTACACTAACCACAATCTTCAACCATGTAGATGTGTGTCTTATACTGATATTTTGTGTTTCATTATAGTTAACAATTGGAAGTGCTTTAAAGAGATGGGAGTGGAAACTTAAGCAAGGTGGGAGGTGAAAAGGGTAGAAATGTGATGACTAAAGGTGCAGAAGTAATTCCTTAGAAAGGTTATGAAAGTAGAGAGGGAGGATGTGAGGCAGAGGGAGAAAGTTCCCAAGTGGGGCAAGGTGGCTAAAAACTTTGGCCAGGAAGGCTAGAGCGAAGACCATTAGAGAAACAAGTCTGGAGTTGAAGATGGGCCGAATAAACATTTTAGCTGCAATGGGGATGAGATGGACAGGCAAGCAAGATAGAGAAAATTGATTTGATTGAAGGCCAAGAAAGGATAATAATAATAATCCTTGCATTTATCTTCTAGACGTCTCAAAGCGCTTCATGGAATATACTGTAAAGTGAATTGACTGTATATTTGTGGGAGAAATGCGATAGCCAATTCCACACTGCAGTGTCCCACAAACAGTCGTAGATTGAAGTGACCAATTTATTATTATTATTTTTTTGAAGGAATTATTACCCCCGCAAAAGCAGTTAATGAGTGAGTGAGTAATCGACTAACAACCGGGTTTCTAGTTACTGCTAAGTAAACTGAGGCGGTAGAACTAAAGTGCCAAGATTGCACACAGGCTGGGGCAAGTGACTGAAGTGATAACACACTTAAATTGATTGAAGTATTGCAGGAGCAATTATTTTAGGTTTTGGTGTCTGTAAGAGGAATGGTTTGCAGAATGCATTTGTAATCTTGGAGCCTCTACCGAGCCCCTGTGTTCCTGGCTATTATTTGCTACATCTGGGAAAACATTATTGGCTCCTCAGGCCACAAAAGAACGCTGGTGAGTTATTCCATTCACTTACAAAATGTTCCACTTAATGATAGCTCTGAGTTTTGGCAGTCGGGAAATCAATTTAGTGTCCTCGGGAGATTCCAATGTAATGTGAGTGGACGGGGCAGGGGCACGAAGGAGGGTTAAGCATCACCGCCGAGAACTAATTACGTGCCCAGTGGTGTCATTGCTTCCTGGTTCCTGTCATGTCAATTACGTGATGTTCACTTGGGTGCAACTTGTAATAGTGCGATACGCCTGCCTTTGCACATCTGATTGAATAGATCTGCCGGGGTTGCGTTGTGTGGCCGTCAGCCCACGCGTTGGTTAAAGTTAAGATCCAAGATAAGACAATCTTTTTTGCCGAGCAGCGTGGGTCAGTTACACCGTAGTCAATGGCCATCAATTCGCATCCGAAAACGGTTTCTCTTCTCCATCTTTTGCCCTCGACTCCTCCTCTCCGGGAAGGAGTCATAATAATAATAATAATCCTCGCATTTGATATAGCGCTTTTCACGTCGGGAGGACGTCCCAAAGCGCTTCACAGAACACACTGTAAAGTGAATTGACTGTATATTTGTGGGCGAACGCGGCAGCCAATTGCGCACAGCAATGTCCCACAAACAGTCGTGGGTTGAAAATGACCAATTTATTATTGTTTTGGGTTGACGCCCATTTCACAAGCGGGCGCTCTACGGAAGCCCACCAAAGTGGCCATCGTTTATCATCATTATTATTAGTAGTAGTAGTAGTAGTAGTAGTGGTGTTAATGAAAATTATTATTTCAACCCCCAAAAAAATCAGTCCATTCACTTTGCAGAGTTAATTCACTCCGTGAAGCGCTTTGAGACGTCGCGCCCATGGGACGAGGCGCTCCCTCAAATGCAAATAATATTATATCACATTTACTATTGCTGTGTTTAATCACTGCTCTAAACATTTAGCATTCCAGCCCCTGACCCCCACTCGTGCCTTTATCAAAGATGGCGGCGGCCCGCCTCAAATTGGCACGGTTTCACGGTGCGCCTGCGCAAGACGCCCCCTGCCTGCCTGCCTGCCTGTCAACGTCACTTGGTCCGGTCCAAGGTACCAGAACCCAGTGCGCGTGTGCGTGGTGGTGGGGAGGGGGGGAAACAGAACAAAACACTCGAGCGTTATTTCCGTTGCCTTTAACTGCAAAATGTGCAGCAGCCACGCGAATGACCCCCTCTTGAGCTCTTCTGACCAGTGTCTTGATAACTTTTAACGGTGAACGGTTTTTTTTGAACACAAGTTGTAAAAGGGAGGTACCGTCCTCCCCTATCCCCCGGCGTCACAGTGGTCTCGCTCAGCGAGAGAGAGAGCGGGCGAGAGGGGGGCGGGGCCAGCGCACGTCAGTCACCCGCCGGGGGGCGGGGCGGGGGGGGGAGAGGGTGAGGCGACGGCGCGGAGGAGGAGGCGGAGGAAGAGGAGGAGTTCGTTTGTCATCCATTCGCCGTTAACAATAATGTCTGCGGCTCGGGCAGCTGGCCTGACCTTGCTCTCGGAATGGAAGTCTTTAGCCGCGGTGAGTCGGCGGCGGCGGCGGCTGGAGGATGGCGGCGGCGGCGGTCGGTGTGTGTGTGTGTGTGAGGCCCTCAGGGCTGAGGGAGGGATAGAGAGAGAGACACACGACGCCATCTTGTCCTCTCCCCCCCGGGCGGGGCCCGCGCGGGGCACTGTGGGAATTGTAGTTCCAGACACACACACACACACACATATACACACACACCCCATCTGTTCAACAGCCTGAGAGTGAATGAATGAATGAGTGAGTGAGTAAATAAATAACTGAATAAATAAAGAGAAATAGAGCGAGAAAGAGGAACGCAGAGAGAAATGGAGAGACGGCGAGAGAGAGAGAGAGAGAGAGAAAGAAAAGAGAGGGGCAGCAATAAAGCTTGCACTTGATACGGCGTCTTTTCGAGACGTCTCAAAGCGCTTCGCAGGATGTACTGTCGAGCGAACTGACTGTTTATTTTTGCGGGCGGAACGCGGCAGCCAGTTGCGCGCAGCGGCGTCCCCGTCCAACAGTCGTGGGATTGAAGTGACTCATTTTGAGAGTAATGAGAAATAGATAAAACAGCGAGAGGAAGAGCAATGGAGAGAAACAGCGGGAGAGAGAGAGAGAGAGAGAGAAATCGAGAGAGATGCAGAAAGGGAAATGCAGAGCCGAAATGTTATGCATTTGAAAGTGGAAGAACTGAATGGTCCTGCAGCGGCTAAGTGATGAAGAACCCGGTAAATTAATCATTTCGTGTTGAGATGGGCTGTGTCTGGAAAGTAACAAGCGTTCATTTGATTTGATTTGTTTCTCAGAATTCAACAGCAGCAGCAACAACAAACAACAAATTGCATTTATGTAGCACCTTTTCACGTCGGGAGGATGTCCCAAGATGCTCCCAAGTAGAAGGGGGTACATGTGTCTTTGGCACTTAGTGCCCTTTCAGCACATTTTAGCTTGTTTTGCATTTCTTGACATTTACTGCAGATGCAGATCAGATCCGCAGGGAGATTAAACTCGTGTCAGTGGTCGACGGACCTGGGCAACAACAGAGCAAAGCGAATGAATCACTCAATCTGAATTTAACCGACGTGTCTGTGGTGAGTTTTTATTGTACTTGGGTAAAACTATTTCCCCCACGAATTTCTCCCTTAGTCTGCGGAATCTGCCTTAAATTCCTTTATCATTCCACTGAAATCACTCATATTGACCACTGTTCATGTTGGAAGGCTGTTTGACTCGATCCTGTTTCCTCACTATATGTCCTCACACTTGCACTTTTCAGTCACTGGATAGTAATCAGGAGCAGAAATTCTGTCTTGATTTTTTCTACTCCTTAAGACAGTGGCGGCGAGGGCGAGTTTAGCTTGGCTGACATAACCTAACAGAGTGCGAGACGATATTGTCGATATTAGCAGTTGAAAATGTAAAAAGAATGGAAAACAGATAGTCAAGGAGAGATGACTGAATGATATATGAACCTCGCATCAATTCAGAGCCACGTGTAGCAATTGGGTTTCAATACCTTACCACCCGTTGTTTAAAACCCTGGTTATATCTTCATCCATTTGCTTACAGGAGGTGGTTCATCAGGAGTCCAGTAATGTGGTTGAACGAAGAAGGAGTGGAAGAGTGCGGAAAAAACGGTCCTTTTCACCCGAAGTGGAAGAAGCTCCAGTCAGGAGAAAAAAGAGCAAGTGGAAGTGCAGTCCATCCAAAGCCAAATCAGGCAAGGCATTGAACACCAATTGGGGGATTGTTGCCAGATAATCTTTCAGGGTCACAGGTTTGAGTCTTGGTCTGTACTAAGTTCCCTGATCTCAGCTGATCTCAATATTACAAGTGGCTTCAGCATCCCAGACCAGTTGTAATTTTTGCCAGCCTGGCTGAAATCAGTTAATTGAACAACAATAACAAATTATATTTACACAGAGCCTTTCACGTCGGGAGGACAACCCAAGACTGGACAGTCAAGGATGGACCTGAGATGGGGGTTGAGATCAAGAGGGGTTCGAGAGCAGGGAGGGTCGGGGTAGGAGGGTGACCGAAGACACGATCGAGAGGAGGGTCTTGAGACAGGCCTTGAATGGGAAAGGGAGGAGGCGAGGCGAAGGGACTGGGATGGAGTTCTGAAGTATGGGGGCAGAAAGGCTGAAGGCCCGACCACTGATGGTGGGGAGGGCCGGGTGGGGGACATGGAGCAAAGACTAGAAATTGAAACCTGCTAAACGTAGGTGTTTCTAGCCAAGTGCTGAAGTGCCTTTACCCACCGGGCAGCCCGGAACAATTACTTTGCAACTGAAAATCCAAAGCACGGAATTTTAAAGCCAGACTGAATTTGTAAACTTTTCTTCTAGAGGGAAGAAAGGAAGCCAGGTTTTGCTGCGATATCTGCAAATCCCCTTACATTACGGATCCTAGACGGCGGGGCAATCGATTGAAGACATCAAACTATAGCCCGTCACCACGCCGCAAGAACGACCCAAAGACTGGACGAGTGCTAACGCTATGTAATGCATGTGGTAAGTTCAACAGCCCCTCAAGCCCTTGCCAATCTGCGCCGAATACTTTCCCGGAATTAGGTAAGCAGCATGCGTCCCTCCAGCCAGGGAGAGAGTGCGCAGTCCACGCCAACAATCTGTCTCTGTGATCTCCATGTGGAGGTGAGCTGCATGGAATTCTCAGCTTGGTTTGGATACTCTGAAGCAAGGAGATGGGTTTTCCGCAACCTGTTTCAGATTGAGCCGTAGCCTGACTCTTTCCTTCAGCCCCTGGGGGGTTTTCTGCGTTTGTATGGAGGAGGTGGTTTGTGCCAGACAGGAAGTGGAGCCAGATGCACTTGATACAGCAAATTGTAGATTTGCTACCAGCATCCCTTTACTTTTCTTCAAGGAAGTTTTAAGTAAATTGGTTTACTTTAACATGGAAGTCCAGTAAAGTATGATGAAGCTAAGCAAGGATACTCTTACGGATTTTTATGTGCTCAACCTGTTCGGTTCTTGTTAACGGGTGCTTTTTTTTCCCTGTAATTCACTGTGACCAATCCACGAGAAGCCGTGTAAGACTTTTGCTTGCTTCAGGTCTAGCGTTTGACAGACCTCGTCGCCCTCACACCCCTTGCACAAACGTCGAAGCCAGCGCACGCAAGAAGCACGAGGAGGAGCTGCGGGAATTTACAGCGGCCGTGACACACCTACTGGGTGACCAAGATGCGGAGAAGCTGTGCTGCCCTTTGTTTGTGAAGAAGCCGTGTCAGTGTCTGCAGAACTACATCAGGAGGCCCGGTGAGGGGACTGGGCATTTTGACTTTTGAAGTAACGTGCCTTTATTATAAACATAATCATCCTTACATTTGGTATATCTAGAACTCTCTCTCCCCCAAAAGGCTGTGGATCCTGGATCCATTCACATCTTCAAGACTGCGGTAGATAGATACTTGCTAGGTCAGGTTATTAAGTGACACAGGGCAAGGCCGGATAATTGGACTTGAGGTACAGCTCAGCCATGATCTTATAGGATGGCAAAACTGGCTCGAGGGGCTGAATGGCCTACTCCTGTTTCTATGTACAGCGCCTTTCACGTCAGGAGGACGATTAACAGGATATGCTGTAAAGCGGAGTGACAGTGTGACTTTGTGGGCAATATGAAAGGTCATCTGCACAATTTGTGTGAGCGTTTGTAAGCTCAAACGCTCTAGTATCTCTAGAATGACGTTGACATGAACGTCAGAGAATCCTCTCCACAGCACGCAGAGTCACTCAGTTTAGTATTTCAGCAGCTTCTCTGACCCCAGGCACCACTACCCCTGGTTATTTATCACCTAAGCCGTTGGTTCTAACACCTCACCCTGGCCTTGATTTCAGGGGAAGATCTGAGCCAGTGTCGCCATCGAGCTCTCAGTCTTCTGCAGCTGCTGAAAGAAGCAAAGCAACTTAGTTCATTGAAATGTTACAGTGAAAGCCAAGTGCAAGTGGGAAAATCAAGAAAGTAAGAAATCCAGTTTATGTTAAAAGTTGGATAATTTGTATAAAATGTATTTGTTTTAAAGATTGTTTCCCCCCCATTTATACGATTCAGGATTTTTTTTTGCTTGAATTTGTCTGTTGGTTAGTATCTCCGCTCACTATTGACTTATTAAGAAGCTGCCGGGTCCCTTGCTCTCAGTATTCGAAATGTCTGAGATGTTTCATGTAGTTGAGACGTCTCAAAGCGCTTCACAGAATATATTGTAAAGTGTAGTGACTGTATATGTTGTGGGCCAAACGCAACAGCCAATTGCACACAGCAGCATTCCACAAACAGACGTAGATCGAGTGACGGAATTGTTTTTTTTTAATGAACCCCAAGGAAAGTAAATAACAACAGACAACTTTCGATGTATTCTTCAAAGAAATAGATGTGTAAGTTAGCAGACATTTGCTGTCGATTTGATGCTCTTGTTTTTTTCAGAAGGTCCATCGGCCTGGGAAACGGTCAACGCAAATCAAAGGCGTTCGAAGAATTCGTCCTGAGGAACCGCAGCACGTTGCGAAGCGAGCTGAAGCTGTGCGAGAGAGCCACGCAACGGATCCTCGGGTATTCCAACAACTTCCTGCATAAGAAGCTCAAAACAGATCCCGAGGTAACGGACCGGACACAAAGATAAAACTTTAAGGGAAGCCTTTCCACCGCAGTGCTTTAAATCTCACCCACCTTTGCTGAATTCTCTACAGAAGGGGGTGCGAGTGGAGAGGAGCAAAGGAAAGGAGCTCTGGGGCTCCTGAAGCCAATTGCAGAACTTATGACCGAGAAGTGCTGTGTGGATAACTGCGTTTTGGTAAGTAGCCGCAGGGGTCAATGGGACGTCTTTCCGACGTGAAGGGCGCTAGGCAAGTGTCATTTGTTGTGTTGTAAACGGGAGGTGCAGTTTGAAAAGGTGGATCTGTGGGTGGAACGGGGTGAGATACAGCAGAGCAGCAGTGTTTGAAGAACCCTGACTTGTTTTCCAGATGGCACGCACTCACGCTCGCTTGCTTGACCTCTGGAGGGAACGTGCTTCTAAGGGACAGGCTGAAGCCCGCAGGACGCTGGCTGAAATGCTTACTCCTTCAGGTGAGTGTCTACCAGTGCAGCCATCTCTCAGCACTTGTGTAAATCCTGCACTGCATTTACTGCACTGCACTTGTATTTTTTAGCTTTGGTCAGCCGGGTGTCTGACACACGCGGAAACCATGTGGGGTGGTGGGGTAGGGGTGGCGGGAAGAAACCAGAAGCCCAAACTTCAGGCTAATCTTATCCCTAAGGCTTTTCTCTTCAGATTTAAGTTTGTGGAAGGCAATTTAAGAACTCCAGAAAACCGGTTTGCAAGAGTGCTTCCACCCGCTGCTGTGGTTGCCTCCGGTTGTGGAACGGATCCTCGGTGTAACCTGCGAGGTAAATGCTTGCAGTCTGAACGCTGTCTTTCTCACACTGCTCCAGGTGGCTTGAGATCAAACTGCTACAAGTTCATCAGCTGGGTCACAGGCTGCAGCCATAGCACCATTGGCCGGGTCAGCGAGCAGATGAAAAGAACCGGAGGCGAGAGAGAGCCTCCTCCCCACGGGCTCAAAAGGTGGTGGAAGGTAGACAAAACCCCAACGATGTTGCTTTTTGTGCTCTCCAAGTTTGGGGGCTTTAACACGTTCTTTAAAAATAAACAAATAAAGAAGAACGTGATCAGTCAATCCATGACCGTGTGTGGGACACTGCTGTGCGCAACTTCACCCACAAAATATACGGTCAATTCACTTTACAATATGTTCTGTGAAGTGCTTTGAGACGTCTCGAAGGCATGATAAGGCGCTATATCAAAAGCAAGGATTATTAATTTTGGGGGGGTTATTAGACTTTACCTATTCCTTTTAGGATCTTTAATACTTCAAATCTTCCATGAGTATTCTCTTTTTTTTGTTCTTTGTGAAAAAGTCTGCAGTGGCCTCTCCACATGACTCATATGAGCTTCTTTATTTGATTTTCCTTTGGTTTCCAGGGGAAGGCGAGGACTCAGAAAAAGGTTGGTGTTGAGCGACTGGGCACCAGGAACCCAACAAATGCCCCAAGCTCTACTCGAGGTTCTGCCAGTGTAGCTGCAGCAGCCTCAGAAAGCATCACAATGTCTGTCCCAAGTGTTCAGCTGTCCTCTTTGCCAGCCACCGTAAGTTCTCTCTTTATTAATAATAATAATAATTATTGACTGTATTTTGTGCGCATAATATGGCAGCCAGTTGTACACAGCAGTTGTGGATTGAGTGACCATGTTTTTTTGGAGGGATTATAACCCCCAGAAAGCGATCCGCCAACCGTTCCTACTTACTGCTAGGTAAACAGAGACGTGTGAAGTAAGAAACTTGCCTAGGGTTTTGCCCCGTCTGGCAATTAAACCTCTCACTTGTGAGGTGAGTGGGCTAACCACTATGCTCCAGGACTCCACAATACTTTGCCTTTAATATGTTGAGGCTATGCAGGACAGTCCCACTCTTGATAGCTAATGTACTTCTTCTCCAAACCAGGTTCAGATCCAGGTGCAACAGCAACAAATTGAGGTGTTGAAAAAACAAGTTCAGATTCTGCAGCAACAACAGCAGCAACAACATGGCTACAAGCCCCAGGTACTGAGTGTAACCTTCCCATAGATGCATAGAAATGACAGCCTACAACAACAACAACAAGATTCCATTTATAGAGCGCCTTTCACGTCGGGAGGACGTCCCAAGGCGCTGTACAGCCGAGGAGATCATTCAACCCTCAATTCTAAATTGGTGCTAACTCATTCACCAAAGCTTATAGTTTATAGTGCTATTGTCTAGTGTTTCGAGTACACTTGGTCTCTAGCGCTGTCCAGCCAACTTTCTGTAGTAAAACAATGGCCAATTTATGGGTTGTCAATTTACCGTTGACTGCTACTCTACCTCTTCCGACGTACAGAAATGTACGGCGCGTGTTCAGTTTGCGATAACAACCAGTGTTGTAACAGAACACAAAATACTGCAGCTGCTGGAATCTGAAACAAAACACAGAGAGCAGCTGGGAAAACTCAGCCGGTCAGGCAGCATCTATGAAGGAAAGGGTCGTGGACCCGAAACGTTGACTCACTTTCCTTTCCTCGATCGATGCTACCTGACCTCCTGAGTTTTCCCAGCTGCTCTCCCTCTTTTGGTTGTGTTGTAACAGGGTTGGGTGCCTTGTACGTTTTGTGTCAATATCTGGTGTCTGCCATTAGATGGCACCATATCTACACAGCTCACTCAGCGTTTGACTCTCAACACTGGGTGGACGTGGCATTCAGTTCTCCTTCACTCGTTAATGCCCTGGTTTGGTTCAGGTCAAGGGTTGCTCATGTAGAACGAGTGGCACTGAGCACACGTGCGGGCTGAGCATTTATATTCTAAAACCTGCTCTCTCTGGCTTGAATTCTATCTTCAGAGCCGGATATTCTCTTAATACTTTTTAAATCACATTCTCAGGCACGTAAAGCTAATTGAAGTAGCACCTATGTCGAAGCATCTCAAAGCAGGTCACGGAGTTGTACTGTAAGATGTAGTGACTATGTGTTTGTAGGCAAACCTGGCAGCAAATTTGTGCACAGCTATGTCCTACAAACAGTCATCTGTTACTATTATTATCTGGGTGGATTACTGGTCATTACACAATGAGAAACTCTCTTCCTTTTTCGAATAGTTCAATTGGGAACTATAAAGTCTACCTGAACAGGTAAACAGGGACTAGGTTTGTTTCCTAATGAATCCTTTTCATTTTATTTTTATGATGCAGAACGTTTCAGATTTCTCACCAGTGTCTCCACAACGAAGTGTCGCAACCCAGCAAACCGCTCAGCACCTCCAGGCAATGGGTTCACCTCAAGTTACCAGCCTCCAAGAGCCTTCTTCTGTGTGTCCAGCAAACGGCGTGATAGTCCCACAGCAATTGATGGGACTGTCATCCAAACCACAGGCACTACAGCAGCAAAGTGTGTCCAAAGAGGGTCCGGTGATGGGATGGATAATGCAGAATGCCAGCCATTCCCAGCTCCTGTCCACTGTGCCAACCACCATTGGGCTCATCCAGGATATCCTCCAACAGAGTGATATTCAGGTCACTTTGGGTTTTACAGTTGGGTTTTATTATAAGAATTTGCATTCGATCCAGCCACCTATTATTCAGTAATATTCAGACATCTCAAAAGTGCTCTGTAGGCTATTAATTGCTGTGTGTTTCGAGACGTGAATTTGTCGGCAGATGAAACTGCTAATTTGCTCCCACAAAGAGCCATGAAGTGAATGACTAACTTATCTGGAGGATTGTTGGCCAGAACACCGGGAGAAACACCTCTTTTTTGAAATAATTTCCAAGGCCTTTTGACTTCCACCTGAACAGGCAGACGGGACCTTGATTTAACTTCTCATCTGAAGGTCGGCATTTCTGACAAGTCAGTGCAGATTATAAACAGTCTTAAGACTAAGCTCATGCGACACTGCGCTATTGGGTAACTGCTGTAAGCAGTGCATATGAAGTCAGACTTAGCCATGATAGCCATCCCCTCACTGTTGAAATAGCCCCAGATTTGTTTCTTAAATAGTCCAGGCAGCTGTACTGTACCTAAAAGTGTACCTCAGAATGAATCCTTAGCAAAGGAAATGGCAAAATACATTTTGGATTTTCTCAGCCCCAGTTTGCTTCCGCTGTGCTCCAGTTTAGCTCTTATTAAACTAATGTTTTGTTCTTTCAACATTTTAGATCCTTGTTCAAACGTTAGACCTGCCCTGCAGTGTGGCTGGGACCATCAGGCCTCAGCCCCAGGCTGCTTTATTGTGCAATATTCCCACTAACTCGGCAAACAACTGCGGGAATGTCAGCGGACAGTATAGCCCCTTTCTGGACCCTGGACAAGTCACTATTCAGGAAGTGCCAGCCCAGCTCGTACCCATTTCTCTGAACCAGGAATTATCGGTAAGTGTGGGTTGTGGGGAGAGTGGAACTAACAGTTTAACTATAAGACGTACTGAGTTTTGGTAGGTATTACAGCCCAGCCTAATACTAGACGTATCTGACATGCACACACACATAGTCTTATTTTTCTGCTCTACCCCAGGGATTTAGCTCTTGTTGAGATCAGTAGCTTCAAAGCTAGTGGCCTAATGGTGCCTTTGACCTACTAGGCCTTTGGGGAAGCTTGTTGATCAGATTCTAATGGCCTGAGTCTCTTAATTACAACTCACACCCAGGTCTCGCTATACTTTTTAACTTCTTTGTCAGACCTCGAATAAAACCCTTATTGAGACATAACCAAACAATAATAAATAATAATCCTTGCATTTGATACAGCGCCTTATCATGTCTTTGAGATGTTTCAAAGCGCTTTACAGAATATACTGCAAAGTGAATTGGTTTTTGTGGGGCGAAAAATAGTCCTTCATTGCTAAGAATCTGCCCCAACTCACTGCGTCATGCTCTCAGGTTACAATGAGCCTGACACAGCTGCCAATGGCACAAGCAATGGCTGGTCTGTCACAGAACAAACTCTGAATGAATGAAATGTTCTAGCAGCTCGACGTGGAGAAGGTTGCCTTCACACAGCTGTCTTTATAACACACATACTCTTTTTTAACGCCAGGCAAGTGGGAAGCTACATAAAGAGTGAAGCGTTCTAATACTTTAGAGTGAGCTTGAAAATTTTGATTTACGTTGTGGAAAAAAGGTTGACTTTATTATCGCTGCCAGTTGAACTGAGCTGTGTTGTGAGAAATTGCAAATAATATTTTAGCTTTTTAATAGATTTGAATTTTTTTTTTCTTTGCTTCTCATTTTATCAGTCAAATCCTGTGGGAGTTCTGAGTAACAGAAGAGGCACCAGTATATGTACCTCAGCCAGTCAGCTAATTCTTCAGGTACCCACAGAGAAACGTGGAATACATCCCAAATACTTCATAGCCAGCGGTCTGGTTCACTGACAGTTAACTAAATATCTTAAAATATACGGTTTAATGCAAATCTTTAACATGTTAAAAATTGGGATTGAGCCAGTGCTGTAATTTGTAGCGCTAGTCCTGTAGTGGAGTCCTGTAGCTCAGTGGTTAGAGCACTCATCTCACAAGCGAGAAATCTGGGTTCGATTCCTGGAAGGGCAAAACCTTGGGCAAGTTACATTACTCCACACACCTGATAATAATCCCTCAAGAATTTTTTTTATATCGCTTTAGTTCACCACTGTTTGTGGGACACTGCTGTGTGCAATTGGCTGCCGCGTTTCACCAACAAATATACAGTCAATTCACTTTATAGTATATTCTGTGAAGCGCTTTGAGACGTTTAGAAGATGTGAACAGCGCTATATCAAATGCAAGGATTATTATAGTCTCTTGTTAGTGGCTATTGATTTCCTTTTTGAATGGTGGTATCTCAGTGCAATGTACTATGTCCCTGACAAGTGTCAGTCAAACTTGTGACCTTTGTGGCCTTAATAAGTATCTCCAGCTTTGCCCTGAAGCGGCTTATCTTTCAGTTTAATAAGTTTGTGTTTTAAAAGCTCGTCATTTCTGTTACTCCAGGCCTTTCAAATCCAGCAGAAGAAGGAACGGCAGGAGTGCAGGGAGCAAGGGCAGCTGTTAGACTCGGGGCCTCCTGAAGACCTGGTCCTTAGCCAGGGACAGATTCCGCAAGTCCAGGCTTCTGCCCTGACGCACACTGAGGCTCTGGCCCACCTTCGCCCTCGAGTGGAAACGTTGAAGATGAAGATCCAGTGCCCTGGTGGAGCGGAGCAGCTCCTGAAGCAGCCGGGACTGTCTGCTCTTCCCCAGACACAGCAGCTAATGCCAGTCACGGCTGTTGAGGGTCAGGTTCCAGTCCACAGCACTGGTGAGCAGCCTCCTCACATCCCCGTAGGTCAGTGGGTTGTGGTAATGATAATAATTCTTGCATTTGATGTGCAACACAGGACGTCTCAAGGCGTTTTAGCACTGCTGGCTGGGATTATCCTGCTGTGCTGGTTTCCTTCAATTAGGTCCTCATTTCTCTTATCCCATTTTATTCCGTCGCAGTCTGTTCATGGTCAGGACATTATTTCAGCCAACCTTTGTTTTAAGAATCGCTCTGACCTTAGTTAGAGATGTCGAATGGCTTCGCTGACAGTTTTATGTGAAAAATCCTTGTTATTATCAGGGGCTCGAAGCCAGTTGCAGTGCCTGACCTTGTCTGGATTCACATCGTCACAGACAACAGGATCCGAAAACCATCCAACGGAACAGCAGGTAAATCCATTATGGATAGTTCACAGAAAGGAATCATTTGCTATTATATTTCCTTGGGGGAGAAGGGGGGGTTCTCCCCTCCTTTCCTGAATAATTCCTTCAAAAAACTACTGCTAATAATTTGGTCACTCAATCCACGATTGTTTGTGGGACGCTGCTGTGCGCAATTGGCTGCTGCAATTCGCCCACAAAATATACGGTCGATTCACTTTACAGCATATTCTGTGAAGCACTTTGGGACTTCTCGAAGATGTAATAAGGCGCTATATGAAATGCAACGATTATTATTATGTAACTCTAGAATCAGCTAAAACATACTGTACTGGGAATAAACACAATGTCATTATCAGGGCTTTGAACCGGCACGTCCCTTAACCTGATTTACATGACTCCACTACGCTCTAATGTGTGTGAGTTTACTTGCTCCTTCATTTCTGTGTGTTGTTGGTTTCTCCAGATCGCTTTACCTCTGGGACTTCTTGATGTTCTGCAGCCACACGCTTAAAGAGCCAGAATGGACGCAGATAGCAGCTTCTCTGCAAGCTGCAGAGGGAGAGCCTTGAGTTACATCTCACTGACTGCAAGGACCGCAGTGAAAAGTGGTGCTGTAGCCCCTATATTTTTATACACAGATCATTTTATTTTTGGAACATTATTATACTGACTGGCAACAGTGGGGCAAGACCTAGATTTTACACTTGGATCAGCAAATGATTTAAAAGTTTATTTGTGGAAATGAGATCAATCATAGTACTCTTGTGCTTTATATATAATATAGATTATATCAAGGACATTGTGTAACTAATGTATATAATGTGTGTGTGTTTATAATATATAGTGTGTGAAAACCTAGTTTTTATAATGCCTCCTGCATTTGATTGGGAAATGGAAAGAGTGAAAGTGGAGTGTGTGTGGGGGTGGGTGCGAGGGCTGAGGTGGAAAGGTCGGTGGTATGTGTGTGTGTTGGGGGGACGGAGGAAAAGAAGGAAGGTGCTGTGTGTTTGAGTGTGTGTTGTGTGTACTGACAATCTTGCCTGAAACACACAAGAATCTTTAAGCTGCTGATCAACCAAGCTTTATTGAATCACGGGGGCGGGCGGGTGGGGGTAGAAAAACTAATCGCCTGGAGAAATGCCACAATAGTTTTTATTCTTACATCACTTTCACACACCAACTTTTTATATTTCATTTTGTGACATTTAAACTCGGTGACTCTCGGAGCACCTGTGATTGCTCAGAATAACTGCAAGACTCGTCACTGATGAGACAACACAAGGCGAGTCTAACTATTGAGATCACAGAAACAGGTTGGAGATTGTTCATCTCTTTTGGATTGTGGAGGAACTTGCAAGAAACAAGTCCTGTTTTGTGTAACCGATTTTATTTACAGTTGACACTTAAGTGAATAAGGGTGTGTGTAAATTATGCGTATATTGTCCCTGCTCTTTGACTTTACTTTTGTTCATGGTAAAGCTAACCAACCACTTCATCAATTGTAAAGTAAACGGAATGTGAATTTTTCCACATCTGGCTTCAGCTGCGCAGTTTATTTTATTTCTGGATTTACACCTCAATTCCATCCCCTCAACCATATCTCTTAGTAGAAAAAAATTCCCGTTGAATTAAATGACAACACAAGTCTCTGTCTGGAGGTATAACGGGCAGACTATGTAAATGGAGTCAGAGGTCGGGTACAGAGCGAAGGGACTGGTTGTCCTGTTTCATTCAGTTTTATCAGGTTTAATAGAAAAATGGCTTTTCATATTGTAACTGGTCTGTGTGCCTTTGTTTGCGTGTGTGTCTGAATGTGTGTATCAACCTGCAAAGTACACAGTCACTACACTTTGTGAAGTGCTCTCAGGCTTCCTCTTGATATGATAGATGTTCTATCAAATGTAAATATAATTTGCATGTGTGAATATTTGAGTGTGTGTATTTTCACTCGCGCTTGTCTGTGTGTTTGGAGTCGGGGCGACGGAGATTATTGATGACAATTTTGTTTTTCTCTGCTGATTGTTCAGTTTTCTAATCGAATCCTACGATTTTCCAGACATAATTACTGTGTTCTGAGGTTAAGAATATTCTGTGAAGCGCTTTGAGACATCTCGAAGACGCTATATCAATTGCAATTATAAATACATAGGCAGGAAGAATTTCAGAGAAGTGAACAGAAAACAGACTTGAGTTCGTAACTGAGAACAGTTTTGCTAGCTTCAGATTCGTTCAGATCCGGAACACCCCGTACCCTGTCATTCGTTCCTTGTTGAGTCTGTTTAATAAACTGTTCATTCTGATTCACGATCCCGTCCACACACAGTGCAGCTGGAGATTTACAGCTTTCAGTTGCTGCAGGCCTGTCTGTACACACTGCCAGGTCGTGGAGTACAACCACCTCACGTGAGGTAAGAGTCCATCCAAAGTAAATAAGGGGTAAAGCAGAGCTAATGCAGAGGAGAGCTTCATAGATAGGATATAAACATCGGGGGGGAGAAATTCCACCTTGGTCTAGATTGGTGTAGATTGGCTCCCGCATTTGCCCACGTAAGTCACTAAACTTCAAAGTCAAATCGCTGCTGAGACATTATGGGGCACAGTATCCAATGCAAACATTGTTTAATTATTTATAATTTCCTCCAAACAATGAGTTCCAAACCTTTGGGCCCGCTGTCAGTCAAACTGGGTCGAGTGGAACTCTCACCAGGATATGGGTAGGTGATGGCAGATCACGTCAGCGCCTTGGGACATCCTCCTGATGTGAAAGGCGCTATACAAATGTTATTTGTTGTTGTTGTTGTGGTTAACAGCAGATTGGCCCCCTGTGGCTGTGTCATAGATACTCACCCTCTTGACCTGCTACTGCCCAGACAGCACTGGTTAGTTTTTGATCGTGCTTAGTCACCTCCACACTCCCTCTGGCTTGTTGTCAGACTCCGCCACTGTGAAGCGCTCCAGGACGCTACCCTGCGTGAAGGGCGCGATATAAATGCAAGTTGTTGTTGCTGTCAATTAGCCCGAGGGAAGTAGGGAATGGGAAATCACTGGAAAAAAATGTTCAAGTGATGCAGGAATCAGTGATTCTCAACAAAGCAGCCACGTGGTGCAGAACTCATCATTTTTATTACAAGCCTGTGTAAAATTTCATACGATTTACACCTTTGGGATAAAATGGGGATTGGCGTCATATTTACAGAAACAGTACTTTTTATAAATCAAAGGGTAAAGTTAATTCATTCGAGACCGATGCTTTACGGCAGTGAAAAAAATCGTACCATAGGGTTGATCTCTCAATGCTTGAGAGGAGAATTAATTACACAGAAGCAGATACACAAAATAGCCGTGAAGGGGGTGCTATGGGGTGTGGGTTTGGAAACCCAACGAAAAAGCTCCAAATTCCACCTCGTCTTAGCCTGGGAGATTTCTAATTGTCTTGAAATTCTTAAATCCATTAATTTGGAAATCAGGCTTTTTGAAAGCCATGGAACAACAGCTTCCAAATTAAGACAAGAATTTTAAAAATTTACCATCATTCTTACGCCTCCTTAGGTTTTAAGACCATTTCAGGCCGTCACCAAAGCTCAGTAATTTTACCGATAAGCAAACAACAGGGCCCTAAATCACCAAGAAATGCAGAGATATTTTTACACCTCGACAGGCGTTGAAAGAAAACGATTGAACGTTTTCCTTTTGTTTTCTTCCCAAATGTAAAAAAGATTATTCTTTAGTTCTGTAAGTTTCTCCGACTAAAACTTCCTGTGTAATCCTAAAGCCGTATTGTATTCTCAGTGAACAAGGGAAACTCCTGCATAACACAGCCCAATCCTTGCAACATAGACCTGCAGTGAATGTATGACTGCTGTACGCATCCACTGAGCAAATGCATTGCTGCTGGCACAGTGGGCGTCTGTCTGCACCTGCCCACCTGCGACAACTCGGAGAAGTTTGGCCGTTTGTCGGAAGTGGGAGTTAGTGCCTTCTCCTGGTGGGTGAGGCAGACGGAGAATATTGCACGTATTCCACGAGCTCAAACAAATCCGTGCTGTACTGAACACCGTCTCCGTCTTTAAAGGTAATAATCGGCCGATGTAATCTCTGGCGGTCATAATGCAAAGTACAGTCGATTCACCTGGGCACTGCTCTGAAACCGAAAGCAATCTATGGCTTTCACTACCTGCCTCTCATATGTGCACACTTCTTCCTGCAGGTACACGTTTCTGCACACGTATGTACCCATTTTGGCCTGTGTACACGTGTGTATGTCCGTGGCTCTCTTGGCATCGGATCTTCTGTTGTACCAAATAGTTTTACTTACATTCATTCAGTGTCACAGCCGGGTAATGCTCTCGTACCTTTTCAACACGCATTTTTTTTTTTAAAAAAAAAGCTTCGGTTTTCTGCTTCCCGAATGTTTAGTTAACGGTGGACTGGAGGGAGGGGATGGGATGAAATGAAGTTTTTTATATATATATATATACACATACAGTATGTATAAAAACTTTATCTTCCTTGGCAACTCTCTACAGCTGCACACTCGTGTAGCATTGTGCCCTGACCTTGCAGGAGCACTGGGGGAACTGCACGCACCTAGAGTGTCGCTCACAACAGCAGCAAGTGCCCTGATCCACTCAATGGCCCAGGCCCCCGTTCACCGGCTACAAGTCTCTGCAGCGCGAAGTCGCTCAGCTGGAGCTCGGCCTCCTCTCTTCGTGCCCCTCGCGGCTGGACGGGAGATCGACCCGCTGCTCGTCCATGCGCTTCGCCTGCACACGCTGGATGAGGCTGAAAAAGTCCTCGTCTGGTACCGTGGGTCCCCTTGGCACCGGGCTGGGTGGGGCACATCTCTGGTCATCGATCCTGGAAGACTGCGGAGAGGAAGAGAAAGCAGAGACGGACGTCCAACAATAAAATGTGGTTGAGATTTTTTTGGTGGGGGGATGGGGTATGGGGAGGAAGGCTGGGGAGTAAAAGGGAATAAATTGGTGATATATTTGCATCAAATATTGGTGAGACACTGCCTGTATGAACGCCACAATATATATATATATATATATATATATTTGCAAGTCATCGTTGAGAAAGAAAAGTATTTACACCGGAGGGTGATTGGAATGGTCAACCACAAACCGCAATTGATTCAGAGCACACGTTCTTACAAAAAAGAACTGGACCTTCAGTCATCCTCCCACCTCCATCCCTGTTGCCCTCCACCGCTCTCGATTCAACCCCCCAGCTCAGATGCGCCTCGGGCCGTTGTCCTGACCTGAAAGGTGCGATTTAAATGCAATTTGTGGTTGTCTGCTCTCTACCTTAACCCTGCCTGGGCGTCCCTATAGAGTTTTCCCTCCCTAGTTCAGCTAATGCTGAGGCCCACTGTTCAGTGTGACATCAAGAGTGTTTGATGCTGACACTGCTAGCCTCTGATGGGAAGGTTTCAATTTCCCTGCACCTTGCCAAACATAATAACCACCCCCCCCCCCCTCCAAAAAAGAAAACGCATGATTTGAATCTTGTCTCCTCACAGTGCCTTACCTGACATTTCATTAACATGTTGAAAAACTCATCTCCGGGCTCCTGAGGGTCTCCGTCTGTCCGCAGATGCCCCATGACCACCTGGCTATTATTGTGAGTGATCCTCAGTCCTGGCAGGTTGCCCACGCTGGCTCGCTGGTCGTCCAGCCTCCGGCTCTGGGAACTCGCGATCAAGTCAAAAAACTCTTCCGTCTGAGGGGATGTAATGACCGAGGATTGAGCTGGAGGGAGAAAGGAGAGACCCAATTAGAGAAAGAGAACTTGATCCGAACCTTCGATGCAGGAGGATGTCTCAAAGCACTTCACAGGATTACTTGTGGGACACCGCTGTGCGCAATTAATTGGCTGCCGCATTTCGCCCACAAAATACACCGTCAATCCACTTTACAATATACTCTGTGAAGCACTTCGAGACATCTCAACGACGTGATAAGGCTCTACATCAAATGAAAGTTGTTGTTATTAACCTTGCCAGGGGATAAATGTCCGATTCACTCATTAAGCACGCTCTGTATATATAAAGAGTTCAATTGCACTTTGATTAACATTCACATGCAGTTAATGACCGTATTTATTTCCCGGAACAATGCGGTCACTGCGACATCTCATAACTACACATCGGTAGCTGTGATTTACATTTTTATTGGATCTGGTGTGCGCAATATGATTCACAAGCCCTGCACATGGTCAAGGACAGAGTGAGTAATGGAGCAGTCCTTAGCCACAGCGCATTTAATATCTCCCATCATTGACTTTATCGTTGCTTTCGAAGGTGAGAGACGAGGACGGTGGTCAGGCCAGACGAGGTGCTTGGCACAGTGAGGCGAGACATTGCGCGACACGTCAGTCAGTGGGTAATACAACAACAACAACAACTTGCATTTATGTAGTGCCCTTCACGCGGGGTAGTGTCCCGGAGCTAACAGGCAGGGAGCTGAGCCAACTAATGCAGCACAGTGCATGGGCTCGACTCGCTGCTTTGCACAGTGTCCACTGAACAAGCCCAACTCTTCGAGATAGAAGCCGCACCAGTTGCATTGCTCCAAACAACAACGCGCGCTTATAACGACGACAGCAGTTAGCAGCTTGCATCTCTATAGCCCGCTCGCTCCGCACAGAATAACGTCACAGAACCCTTTAGAGCGGGAGAAACTCCCTTCTCTTTTCGGACACGGCCACGGGACCTTTCACATCCCCCTGAACAGGCTGTCGGGGACTCGGTTTAACGTCTCATCCGAAGGACAGAACCTCTGATAATGCAACACCCCCCCCCCCCCACCCCCAACTTTCTGACTCCCGATGCGAGAGTGCTACCACTGACACACGGATCTGATACTTTGATATTTCCTTCTGCCAATGGACATGTATGTAAAAAAAAATAACAGATCACTTCAAACCACGGCTGTTTGTGGGGACGCTGCTGTGCTGCCGTGTTTTGCCCACAAAATATACAGTCAATTCACTTTACGGTGTATTCTGTGAAGCGCTTTGAGACGTCTCGAAGACGCGATAAGGCGCTGTATCAAATACAAGGATTATTATTATTATTATAAACGTGACGAGTGCTGAGCTGTAAATGGGCAATGGTAGCAAAGGCTTCCCTGGAGCAGCTTTTGTGAAGCCGGGAGTGGTTTGGACGAGTGCCGGGCCACCTCTCAGCGGATTCCCGGCCGAATGGCGGGGGGGAAGAGAAACGGAAGGACGATCAAGAGAGATTACTTGGGTTGGATTCACACGTCCTCACTAGATACTCACTCGTCTCCTGCAAAGGAGACAGCGGTGGGGAGGTGTTGCTCATGGCACCGTTCTGCCGCTCGTCTAAGGTACAACGTTGATCATCCATGCGACTACTTTGAAAACGACTCAGCAGATCAAAGAAGCATTCTTCATCCGAGGCCTCCCGACTTATCTTCTGTGGAAGTAAAACACAAAAATCAGGTTTCGAAGTCGCCATTTAATTGTTCCGATAGCGCTCCTCGATATGTCGCGCACTCCATTACTGTCGAGCGCTCAGGGACACCTCCCTGCCTGAGTGTGGGCTGCTACGTAAATGCAGGTTGTCGCTGCTCTGGCTGTTCAATATCCCTTCAGCGTGAAAGCAGAAATAACCCGATTGGCAGAGAGGCCAAGCGGTTAATTAACACACTTAAATGGCTCAGTGTGATTAATAATAATAATAATAATAATAATCCTTGCTTATAGCACTTCATCACGTCTCAAAGTGCTTCGCAGGTATTTCTGCAAACTGCGGTGACTGTATTTGTGGGGTGAACCTGGCGGCCAATTGGCACACAGCAATTTGTGAAGAGCTCTGAGACGTCTCAATGAGGGCAATAAGGCGTTCTATCAAATGCAACGATTATTCGCGTCGTTTTTCGACCGAACACCGAAACACTTGATTTTTTTTTGAAGGAAACCCAGCCGAGAGGGATTAGAGTCAGGTCGATTGTGAAATTTCTCAACAGCATCCAACAAGTTAAAAGAAATCGAGGAAACTTAATTTGATGCGCAGAGCTGAGCGCGAGTAACTGCGATTGAAGAATGTTTATCCCTCATGAGGAGGCAGGTCTGTTTCCGTCACCCACGTGTTTCAAAAATAAATCACTGGCGCAACGCAGACCTGCACACAACAGATGCATGGAGGCGGTGGGGCAGCCTGGGCTCAGCCTCGCGCACACGCGCTGGTGAGAGTCAGATTGGATGAGCCTGTTTGGTGATCCGAGTGTCTTGCAAATTAAGCCTCAAGGCTGAAGGTGTTGGCAAGGAAAGAGAACAGGTTTGCCAAACAACTTTCTGATGAAGCCTGCGCCCCATCAAACAGACAAAGTCACACTGCGTCTCGTCAGGGGGGAGCCACGAATGTCATAATGGACAGAACACAGATATCAAGCCCCGATGCCAGGTCACCGGGCTCGATTTAGGCTTGAACCGTTGTGTGGAAAGCAAAGAGTATTCTGAAAACGGAACAGATTAGAAACGGAGAAATCTGTAGAGAAGCAGAATATCGAAACGATGCAGAATTGTTGTAAACTGAATGAACAGCCTCAGGTGTGCATGTTGCTTGTGAACGATTGTCAGCCCTTTGAAATGTGATGAGCCATTTCCACCTACACCATACTCAGCCGCTACACTTTACGGTAAATCCTGTGAAGCGGTTTGCGGTGTCTCAATGACGTGACAAGGCGCCATATCAAATGAAAGGGTTTCTCATTACAAAAACACAAATTCTCTATTTTGCTAAGCTTTAACAGACGCACGTAGAATTGATGCTTCTTTTGAGATGACCTTCCGACACAAAATGTTAACAGGAGTGACTGGAGCTGTAAGAAGAGAGCGAGATCGAGCTCATGCAATGGTCCCAAGTCCACAATCGTTACAGACAAGGCACCGACACAGGAATTCCTGACTGTACAAATATGGGGAAAGATGCTCTCTGACAGCTCAGGTGGCTCTGCCTCACGTTCCAGATAAATTCGAGACCGGCTTCTTGTTTGCCAGAGAACAACTGGCTTTTACAACAAAAACAATCCATGGTGACTAAGTCCTATCTTCGTTAACACCTGATCATCTGAACTGCCAGATTTGGATGGGTCAGTCACAGTCGCTGTACACAGTGCCCAGTATATAACTGCTCCAGTCCCCACCCGTCCAGTCCAACACCACAGTACACAATAATAACAATAATCCTTGCAACTGATATAGCGCCTTATCACGTCTTCGAGACGTCTCAAAGCGCTTAAAAGATTAAATCAGATCATTAGTTCATTCAAAGTCAGCTTTGGATTAAAAAGGTTTGGGATTTCGTTCACAAATTGGGAACTTGTATGATATTAAACAGGCTGGATTTCTGAATCACTGCTATCTGGAATTAAATTGCGGAACAGAGGACAATTCACCTTTTGGTACTAAAAAGGAAGGAGGAAATGTGCCTGGAGCTAAAAAAATACAGCAGGGAATTAGACTGTGAAAGACTGAGGAACAAAGCATCTCTCACAAGTGGATGAATTGCTTTGTTTTTCTCCCTTTGCAGAGTTGGAAGGCAGACAAACTGCCCTGTTGCATTTCCACCCTTAATTTGAGAGAAATTGTTTGCGGATTTAGCCGTTTCGTGCACTGGAAGTAAATGAGGTGAGGACTCAGAGTGCTCCGCCATCCAGACATCAATTAGCAGCGGCTACAGAGAGCATTGTTCAAGAATATTATTTCCTAAATTAATGTTTAAGCAGAACAGTTCTTTGTAGTCATTTCATATAATAATAAAAATGATATTCAGCCAATTGTACTGGGCTTGCACATTTATTACACTTTTAGAGTGTAAGAGCGAGATAACTGAGCTAAATGAATGGTGCAGTCAACAACAACAGCAGCTTAATAATAATAGTAATACTATAGCGCCCTTCACACGAGATAGCATCCCGAAGCGCTTTACAGTGGCAAAGTCCTGACAGTCGAGGAGATTAGCATCCTGTTCAATCGCTGCCTTATGATCATGGAATCTTTCAAGATGCCTTTAACCACCAGAATTATTATCTCAAGTTTGCACGACTCATGAACACAAAAACACTTTATCTCATCGTTGGAAAGGCGGCGTCTTTCAGATGAGGCGTTAAACTACAGATTGCCTTCGCCGCTCAGGTGGACGCTCACGAGATCTCACAACACGATAGTGACCCTCCACACTAATGAGTTAATCATCACCACCGCACAGCTGTTTGCGGGACATTGGGTGAGTGATCGGCTGCTGTGTTAACCTGCACAGCACAGCCACTGCCCCCCCCCACCCTCCCCCCCCCAACACGAACAGTAATTCCTTGCGAAGCACTTTGTGAGAGGCTTCGAGGTGATCAGGTCCTATCAAAAACAAAGGCTTTACCACTTCACCTGGTTGAAGAGTTTCAATGCGGCAATGTTGGGATCACTTATAATAGGGTCATAACTTGAAGGACCACAATTAAGCACATAGGAAAGTGTGTGCCGTAGAGATAGATACATAATTGTGAGAGCACCTTTGTCGCAGTGAGAAGAGAATGACCCACCAACCTTAAACTCAATAAAGTGAGTTAACCAAATGCTGTGATTCTGAGATCAATAATCCCTTCAAAACAATAAATACATTTATGGGAAAAAAAATAAAATGTGGTCACTCAATCCACGACTGTCTGTGGGACGCCGCTGTGCGCAGTTGGCTGCCGTGTTTTGCCCACAAAATATACGGTCAATTCACCTTCCAGTATATTTTGTGAAGCGCTTTGAGACGCATCGAAGACGTGAAAAGCGCTATATCAAATGCAAGGATTATTATTATTAAAAAGAACCTGTGTTTTTAAAGGTTTATAATTTAAGACCCCATTATATAGACGTATATGGATAATATGGCAGGAGACACACCATTCAGCCCTATTAACGCATTCTCGTAATTACTGTCAAGTGCAGTGACTGCTTTTGTAAGTAAATGTGGCAGCAGAGAAGGATTGCATTGCTTGAGGTGCCATCCTTTGGACGAGACATTAAATCAAGGTTCCGTCTGCTTTTTCAAGGAGACTTTAAAGATCCCACGGCACTATTTGAAAAGAGAAGGGAGTTTCACCCAGTGTCCTGGTCAACCATCCCCCCAAATAAAATAAAATAAATAAAATCATTCATTCACTTTATGGCTGTTTGAGACGTCTCGAAGACGAGAAAAGCGCTATATCAAATGCAAGGATTATTATTATTACTATTATTGGGGGAAATTACAACTGGCTACTGTATTTCGTTCACAAGCGGGTGACCAATTTTTTCTTGGGGGGTGTTTGCTGGCCAGGATACTGATTGAAACTCCCTTCTCTTTTCAAATAGTGCCATGGGAGCTTTAACGCCCAACTTGAACAGGCAGACGGGACCTTGGTTTAAAGTCTCATCTGAAGGACGGCATCTCCAACAAAGCTGCACCCACCCAGCCCTGCACTGAAGTGCCAACCTGGACAACACGAGTTCAAAGTCCCGATGTGGGGCTTGAACCCACAACCTTCTGACTGAGTGCAATCTCCATGCCAGGCTAACACACTACCTGTTATGGCTGTTCAGGAAAGAAACACATTGGCAAAAGAACAGTCAGTCTGTGGCTCTGTGTTCACTTGCGCTATTGTAAAACAATGTGCCCGCAAGTCTGGACATGAAGCAGGGAGGTAGGTGATAAAGAGGTTGACAGCACAGTAACATAATTAAGAGGAGTTTGGGGTCACAGTTAATCGTAGAAAGGAATATCCTTTTAAATTCTTTCCCAGGGAACAGGGAACTTGAGAGACAATATGCCTCTGGCTGGGACCCTTCATTGCAGCTTTAATTAATGAATTAATTTTGTGAAAATCCGAGATAAATTTACTCTAGCGCTCTCTATGATGCAGACGAGCAACCTGAACCCAAACGGGGTTGAAACGGACATCCTTTTAAACACTTAGGACAGAGAGATAGAGCCATGCGATACACCAGTGCATTTCACTTCACACCAAGTCACGAATCGATCCCCAAAGCACATCAACCTCGTAAAGCCAGACCTCGAACAAAGTTTCTCACTGAACAAAACAAATTGCCAAGACAAAACATGTTATAATATATAGACGCTCGTACATACAGAACAAGATGCACAAAAGGTAGAGATAGTGTAACAGTGCAGAGCACTCACCAGTCTTGTCTCTCTCTCTCACACACGCACACACAGAGCAAACCTAGAGGCTTTTTTTTTGGGGTGGGAGCAACAGACAGCACAAACCAATGCTGGGAGCTGCTTTGGCAGAAGGTGAGCGAGAGGGAGTATTTGCTCTGTGTCCTCAACTGTGCGTCGTTCAGGGTCACTGACAGCTACCTCGCAGCGAGCTTCAGATTTATGTGAGAGGCTCTCTCAACCATGTGCAACTCTCAGCTCACCCATTTGTAGTCTGGATCCTGGTTTAATTACTCCTTCAAGTACCATCCAGAGTCCGCAAAACAAAAACAGTCGTCTGCATATGTATACCATACATCAAACGTCTCAGCGAGTGAGTGAGTGAGTGCTCACCACTTACATCAGAATAGCTGCTGTGTGTGTGTGTGTGTGTGTGTTTCACATGTCGACTGCTCCTAGTTCAATACATTCTTCTTCAAGGCACGAGTTGCGGAGCGTGAAGGGACTTATAATAGATTTATAAACAGGGTCAGAAGTTTATTTTTATATTAAAAAAAGAATGAAAGGGCTACAGGCTAAGTTAAGATCCCAATGGAGAAGCTTGGTTAATTGGATAACAAACCCAAAGACTACTATTTTAATATTGATTTATTTTGCCTGTATTTTCGCACTGTACCGGATTAATTCTCTCGTCCAGAGAGCGAGCAGTCTGCCGTGTAAAGTTTCAGTGGCCGGACCGCTCTGATTTGAGGGAATTTGCATCGCAGAAAAATAAGGTACAGTTAATAATAATAATAATAATAATCCTTGCATTTGATATCGCGCCTCATCACCTCGTTGGCACGTCTCAAAATATATCGTAAAGTGGATCGACTGTATATTGGGTGGGCGAAACGTGGCAGCCAATTGCACACCGCAAATGACCCACAAACAGTTGTGGAGTGAGTGATCAAATTATTATTATTTAGTTAAATGGCAGATTAGACAAATAATATCATTTTACCGGGGTTAGGGTTAAAGGCTCTCGGGGTAGGTATCATGGTCAGAGACAGATCAAACATTTCTCTGCTCGGCGCCAACACTGCGGATTTACACCCTCATTCTCCCCCCTCCCCTGGCCTTGCCCCATCCTACCTCTATGACCTCCTGCACCTCGTCTCTTCCTCCAGTACCCTGCTTCACATCTGCCATGAGAACTGCCCCATCGTCAGTGGGTGGACTTACATCCATTCTCCCCCCACCCCCCCAGCGCTCTGGAACTCCATCCTGGAGTCTCTCTGCCTCACCTCCTCCTTCCCCATCTTTAAAGACCTTTCTTTCCAACCCCACTCCCTCCCTCCCTTTCCTCCTTCAAGGCGCGTCTCCAGACCCTCCTCTTCAACCGAGCCTTCTGCCACCCACCCAACCTCCTACCACCCCCTTCCCTCCACACCCCTCCTGATCAACCCCCAGCTCGGGTCCAAATCCCTGACTATCCAGCGCCTTGGGACGTCCTCTCGCCGTGAAAGGCACGGCGTGAATGTCACTTGTCGTCCTTATCAGGATTCATGCTCAAGGTTGCTATTGATCACACAGTGGCTGCTGCCGGTGCCCCGTAAGGGTTAATAAAAAGCTGGTAAAACCTCCGGCAGCGCTCTACCCCAGATTTATCTGCAGCCTTCCCACGCGTTATGTATGAAAAGCTGTCCCTAGCACGGGGGTTGGGTTATTTCTGGGAACGAAGGAAGAGATGCAGGTGAATCCCAGTGGAGAGCGTCTAAAGAGCTCTTTTGAAGACTGCAGGCCAGCGATTCGCAGCGAGTCCCAGGTTTCAATGTTCTGCGTATTTTCGCCCCCACAAAATATACGGTCAATTCACTTTACGGTATATCCTGTGAAGCGCTTTGAGACGTCTCGAAGACGTGGTAAGGTGCTGTATCAAATGCAGGGATTATTATTATCATTATTACTTGTCTTTCTTCCAAGTTGTGCCTCGGTCGTGGACTAATATCACGGCGTTTACAAGGCATCACGAACTTCTGGTTTTGCCACTGATTTATTGTCTCGAAAGCTCAGCTTTCCGTCTTTAATATTGTGATTTTTTTAAAAAAGGGCAGATGGAGAGAAATTATTTCCTCTGGTCAGTGAGGCTCTGAGCAGAGGGCATCGATTTAAGATAGCGGTAGAGATTAGAAGGTTTTTTTTTAAAAACACACCCACACATATCCCACAGTTCCCTCACCTCGCTCCTTCCCTCGCCTCCCTTCAGCTTTCCTGCACTCACTTATGAAGCGTTATTTAATTCCCCCCCTCCAACCCCGCCCAAAAGTAGACGGCAACTTCAAATCAAATCAATTGCCAAAAACGTCTGATAGCAGAGCGCAAAGCAAATCAGTATCCTGAGCATGTGGATGCTGAAATAGTGAGTGCAGACCGACCCTGACCTCGATAAGGCAGACACGAGACATAACTAAGTTCCAACAAAATATCGAATGTGTGTGATGATTTTTTAAAAGGAACACACTCCCTCATTGTCACGGAGACATCCTAAAACCTGCGTTCATTCAGGAGCATAAATAATAAGGATAAAATGTGGGAACGGTTAAAAGCAGACGTCACATACCGCAAATTTGTGAATAAATCAGGTTAAGATTTAGTATCTTTACACCTCCCAGATCAGCTTGCTAAAATTGGAGTTAACCTGCTTTGATACATCGCAGACAGACTTCTGTCTCAGTGTTTAAGTGTGAAGCACTATGAGGTATACTTGACATTCAGCAGCCTTGTTGATGTGGGCTATGGACAAAGAACTAGTGGGCAGAAGCTTAAAAGAAGAGAAATTAAGCTTTCAGCCTCGTCTGAAGAGGGTTTCATCTCACAGATGGTATAATTATGAATTGACAGTCGACTAACTACCTCCTCTGCTCCAGAGTAAAGAGTCCTGACTTTGCAAGCCTCCTAACCAGAACCCCACCTACGTGGTATCATTCACACGGTCATTTACTTTTCAAAACAACATTACTCCATTCAATTGGCAGCCGCATTTCGCCCACAAAATGCACAGTCAATACAAGACACTTTACAGTATATCCTGCGAAGCGCTTTGAGACGTCTCAACTGTATGATAAGGCGCTATGTCAAACGGAAGGATTAATATTATTATTATTAATTTGGTTACACTTGAGACAAACAACAAGTCCATTCTGATCTTGGTCAAAGCAGGACGAGAAATGTACCGTCCTCAGCCTGGTCTGACGTGCATGAACCTTCATTATTGGTCGTGGCGGAGGTCGAGGAAGAGGGGCCACAAAACTTTTTTTTCCCCCACCTATTTTAAAAAGTTTTTGTAAACATTTCCACCCCCTATTTTTGCAGCTGATATCCTCGTGACACAATAAACACAAGGCATTTCTTGCGATAAAATCAGCTGGTTTAGGTCCAGTGAATATTTAGAACCAACGAGCTGGAGAATATGTTTTGGCAAGTGGCTGGGGTTTTACTGACGAGGTGAGCTGGATGCATCAGCCCGTGGTAAGCGAAGGCCAGAGAGGTGGAGATTAGCAGCAAAGAACCTCTCAGTCCAAGACAGACAGACAGAGGTACACAACAAAATCCTTTTTAAAAAAAAAAAATGTCTGTTAGTCGGGACGCTGCTGTACGCAAATGGCTGCCGCGTTTCGTCCACAAAATTTACTCAATTCACTTTACCGTATGTTCTGTGAAGGGCTGTGAGACATCTCGAAGATGTGATAAGGGGCTATATCAAATGCAAGGATTATTAATAGTAGTAGTAGTTCAGAGCTTAGAGAAACCCTGGCTTATCGTTCTACTTCACTAGAATCCAAGGTCAGTATTCTGGACGCTCTTTCTGAAAGAAAAAACCCACAACGGCCCTGAAAGTGGATTTCCTCCGCTTGTTGAATGCAGGTATTGAGTCACGCTGATGTGATTGCTCATTCAACGCAGGAGGGCCCTTGGCAAAACAGTAATCCATCCATCTGACCCAGATCTCTCTGTCCTGCCATCAGAATGCTCTTGTGCTGTCAATAGGAAACCTGACCGAAGAGAGCGTTTAAAAAAAAAAAGGTTTGGCATTTACACACCGAGCGATTCTGTACTCCAGGTGCTTTTGTGAATCTAAAGTAGTAAAGCTGTTCCACCTATGTCAGGTGTTTAATTTACTGCATGGAGTCAAACCAAAGCAGCAGCAGTTAGACAAGGACAAAACTTCCTTTAAATATGGTTTAATTGTTTTCCGGGGGTAATAATCCCTTCAAAATCATAATAATAAGTTGGTCACTCAATCCACGACTGTTTGTGGGACACTGCTATGAGCGCCTCACTCAGCCTTTGCCAAATAAGAACAGCATATACCGTGTGACTGAATTGGCATTGTCTGCACACAGATCTGATCTGAATCCAGGCTACAAGCACTGCACCCAGTCTCGGGCTCTGCTTTGGAAAGAAACCTTAACGCTTTCAGTTTCCCACGGTGCAGAGTAACCCATTCAAGAAAGGATCAGGTAAATATCTGCAAGGTGAAAGGCTTTACTCACCAAAGTGGCCCTCGTTGAGCTACAATAATACTTCAAGCTCAATTTATACCGGGGAAAATCTCCCTAAATACACAGAGAGGCCGACAGTGAACTGAGTTAGTTCTAGTGTAAAATCTTGAAGAGAACGCAATTTATTTATACCAGGGTATAAACACACTGAGGTGCCGTCCTTTGGAAGGGACATTAAACTGAGATCCTGTCTGCGTGCTCAGGTAGTTAAAGATCCCACGGCGCTACTTGAAAAGAGAAGGAGATTCTCCCAGTGTCCCAGCCTACAATCCTCCAGATAAAACTGGTCATTTACTTCATCCCTGTCTGTGGATCATTGCTGTGCGTAAATCGACTGCCGCATTCACCTAGAAATACACAGTCTAGACTTTACAGTAAATCTTGTGGAGTGCTTTGAGATGTTTCGATGTCGTGATAAGGCTCTGAAAGGACAAGTGCGAGGGTTATACAGAGTGAATCAGAAGTCCTCACTCATAAAGAGTTTGAACTTATAAATAATGTTTTTTTTTTAAAAAGACAACACTGGTAGAGAGTGTGCAGCTATTGCAGGAGATGTCTTTTTGCCCGTTGGTGAATGTTTTTGTCACTGTCAACATGGCGGGCAGTTTGAACATCTCGTACAGGCCTATGAGTAAGGACATTTGATTCATTCTGTAAAAGTAATCAACACTGCTCCCTCCAACGCTATACAGCAAAACAGCAGAATATTACAGTTGCCTACCATCTGGGCCACTTGAAGGTGAACATCGCTGGTGTCCACTGGAGGGACTGGGCTGGCTCCCTGCTGATGGTCCTCAGTCGCTGATGGTCTCTCTGGGTATCTTTTGCTCCTCACCTGCCCAGAGAGAGATACCTTCCCCCCGCTCCTCAGATCAGTGCAGTGATGCTCCTCTGCTGCATCTCCATTTAATTCCTTTAAAGTTTAAAGACATAAGTAAATGATGGGACGTTACAGGAAGAGGCCATTCGGCCCATCAACCACAGTCCTCAATCCCTCCTGATCCCAACCACCAGCTCGGGTGCGGATTCCTGACTGTCCAGCGACTTGGGACGTCCTCCTGACCTGAAAGACGATACACAAATGGAATTTGTTGTTGGTGGTCACAAAATCACAAGATGCAGTTGGACGAAGGTCCTTCGAAGGAACCAGGAGGTCGCCATTCAGCCCCTTGAACCTGTTCCTCCATTCTACCAGAGCAAGGCTGATCTGTACCCCAACTCCAATACCTTCAATCTCATCCTTTCAGACACCCGCCCCAACGTTCCCCCACCATCATTATTCAAAATTCTCACTGGCCTGTGCGTTAAGACGGGTTTGCTGATCTCCCCTTTAATTATTTTTATCTGATCCTCTGTGACTTTTGTGAGGGTGGTATATGTTCTTTGGGGGGGGGGGGCGGGGGGGCAGAAGGAATAGAAATATGCGATCGAGATGTTCTCAAAATGCTTCATAGGATTCGCTGTAAAATGTCGTGACTGTGTATATTGTAAAACAATTTGCTGATAGCAATGTCCCACACACAGCCACCGATGACCAATTCTAGTTGGGGGGGGTGGGGGGATTGTTGGCCAGGGTGTTCTTATATGGTGAGGAATGGGGGTGGGATTGTGGGGGGTAAAGGGAGAGATGAGTATTCGGATGATTCAGGCAGCATTGGATTGGACCAGAACAGTCTCACCTTCTCTGGAGTGAGGTTCACGAGATCCATGTTCTCCATGCTGTACCGAGGAGGCACTACTCTTGGTCGAGCACCTGAAGACAGCAGCAACAAGAGAGGAACACATCAGAACCGACGCTCGCTCATGCGAAGCAACTCATTCGATCGCAAACAAACAAACAAACAAACAAACAAAGCCTTCGGGAGTCAGAGCACATCCAATGTCTCTCCAGCAACTAACCGCCTGGGAAGTGAAGAGAAATTTGGCTCACAAAATACGTAGCCACTATACTTCGCAGTGTATGCGTCCTGTGAAGCGCTTTGAGACAAGGCGCTGACTGACGTGAGAGGCACTTACACCAAGTGTAAAGATTATTATCATAATAAACTCAACACCTCGCAACGCTTCCTATCCCTGCCAATCGTATTCCCGGCAACGTCACAGACGATTTATTTCACGTTGCCCTCCCGAGTGCCTAAAGTTGTTCTCAGCCTTCAAACTCTCACCAGCTGTCCAAGCACAAAGCCGATCAGCTTCTGGACATGTATTTAGTTGTGTGCGGAGATCTGAAGAGTTGGGACTGATTTCGCTGAAGCGGGGAAGGTTGGGGGTGTGGGGGAAGAGAACGGAACAGAGATTACGAAAAGGCTTTGGTTGTTGGATCCATTCACATTTTCAAGACTGAGGTGGACAGCTGTTTATTAGGTCAGGGTATTAAGGGATACGGAGAAAGGGCAGGTAATTGGACAATCGACGGTGAACCAGCCAGCGTGGCAGTGACTGACAGCCCGTGCAGCAGATGAGAGAGAGAGAGAGCAGGGGAAAACTCTTCCATTTCTCGTCAGAATGCCACCGTACAGTGTGAGAGTCAGGGAACAGGAGAATATCACTCCCCTCCACTCGTACACTGAATAAATGCAAACCAGCTCCTCAAGCATTGTTGAGGTACTGTTTTTTTTTTACGCACACCTTGCTTTAAACTAATGCCTTCGGATCAAGCACATATTTGGAAATACACAGTCAATTCACTGTATACTCTGTGCAGGGCTTTGAGACATCTCGACGACGTGATAAGGTGCTCTATCAAATGCAAGTATTATTATTATTGAGTACTAACGTGCCTCACCCTGCAGATAGGCGGCTACGATACGATAAAAATTGCACAACAGGTGCTTCCTAACAGCCACGGGCTTAAGCTTACCTACCCCTGCCTGTTCCCCTTCACCCCACTCCACTTCAGGCGTCATACTGGATTAGCAGGACGAGGTGATGGTGGGGAGAGAAAAGGGGTTCAATCCCGCTGATGAAGAAAGAAGTCAGGACACGGCAGGGTCTTTCGAGACCAGAGGAACACTTCTGGGAAAGTGGGAACAGTTTGACTCACTGAGGAGAGCGTGCGTCCAGCCAGACTGATAGCAGACACGTATAGAGCGACAGAAGAAGGGATTAGTAGCTCGGCACTGAGTACTGTACCCTTCTCTATGTGTTCGTTGGCACAGGTACAACACGCAGGCCAACGAAACGGAAAACCTCAGGAACTTTCTTAATGCAGGCTCTGTTCAGCAGTAGCTGGGTCAAACACAGTCAATCTCCAGCTTCCCAGAAACCAGCCTGAGGAAATCTTCGGGAGTCTTTTAAAAAAAAAGTAAAAATATTGCGTCTTTTAATCTTTGATCGCATTTGGAGGTTGCAGAGTTATTAAGGGTAGAGATCACAAGTGTTCAGGACACAAAGAGAGGCTCTGGGCTTATATATATATATATACACACACACACACATTATATATATATATAAAAAAACTCCCTTTTAATATATTTATTTTGAAAAAGTGACATTTCTCCCATAATCAATATCAAAAGGTGAACACCAATGATTTTAAAGAAAACTGTGGTGTAAAGAAAAACTTCCTGGCTCCTGTTCTGGAAATTAACCCTTGGCAACCTCTATGTTCCACTGCATTGGTGTCTCAGAGCAAAGCTCCTTTCTGCTCTACTCCAACAAGGTCCAAACTCATTTTGCATCAGATCCTCGGAACTCAACAGACTGAACGGTGAGACCGTTTGCCCTGTGGATGCTTTTGAAATAAGTCTCTAAAATTGCACAGCGCATAACTACGGGAGAGAGAGACGTCATCAGTCAGTAACAAATCCTAAATATTGGACGCATTGGATAACACAATGAGACACACAACCTTGAATTACGTAACTGGCAACGATACCAACGGACCCTGTTGATTTCTGTGGGTTCCGTATGGTCTCCTATATCGTGCTGTGTCCATCCGTTGCCCTTGAACAACAACCCCTCAAAATAGGCTCTCAAGTTGAACCAGATGAGCCAAGGCACCATGTGCTGGCACAGAGCGGGGCTAAGTCTGGGCCACTGAATGTCAGGTTGACTTCATTGCAGTCATTCTGGTATATTTCTGTGGTCTAAGCCTCAAGACCAATTCACCGGCTTAAAAGAGTTCATGGCTGTGCAGAATTTCAGGAGTGTTCTCAGCACCATGGAAAACTGGCTCCCCAAAATCCGGAATATCGCCAGATTACGGCACTACCTCACCCCTCACGCTGCTGAAACCCTGGTTCACGCCTTTGTCACCTCAAGGCTGGACTATGGGAACTCTCTCCTCGCCGGCCTTCCCGGCACCTCCCTCCACACTGCAGGTCATTCAGAACTCTGCAGCTCGTGTACTGTCCCGCACCAGGCTTCGGGACCACATCACTCCTACCCTCGCTCGCCTCCACTGGCTCCCCATCCCCCAGAGGATTGATTTCAAGATCCTCATCCTCACCTACAAGGCCATTCACGGCCTTGCTCCCTCCTACCTCTCCAACCTACTATCCCCTACCTACCTGCCCGTAACCTCCGTTCCTCTGCTCCGGTCTGCTCCACGTCCCCCGCCCCAACCGCCCTACTATCGGTGGTCGGGCCTTCAGCCTCTCAGCCCCGAGGCTCTGGAACTCCATCCCCCAGTGCCTTCGCCGCTTCCTCCCTTTCCTCCTTCAAGGCCGGTCTCAAAACCTTTCTCTTTGACCGTGCCTTCAGCTCCCCTCTCGACTCTCTTCCTCCTCCTCGCTCCCTCCCTTCCCTCCCCTCACCCTGACCATTTCCCCCTCCTCGCTCCTTCCCTCCCCTCACCCTGACCATTTCCCCCCTCCTCTCTCCCTCCCTTCCCTCCCCTCACCCTGACCATTTCCCCCCTGCTCGGGTCATGACCCAACTGTGCAGCGCCTTGGGACGTCCTCCTGACGTGAAAGGCGCTCTATAAATGGAATCTTGTTGTTGTTGTTGTTGTTGTTGGAATTTAAGATTTTTTCCCCAAATTTTGCACGATGTTTAAATTGTAAGACAACTGTTTTAAGGATAAGGAGTGAGAAATTTCAGGACATCTGACTGGGTTGTTAAAAACTTTTGATATCCCCCCACCCACCCATCTGGATCGAGCACTCCAAATTAAGTAGAGTATAAAAAGCGTTTCACAAATCTAATCTATTGTTGTTATGAGCAGGAAGCAACACTCAGTCTCCTTTATCCTGAACACCTCCCCCACCCCCAACCCCAACTGTGTTTGTGTGACATTCCTAATTCCTACCACAGTCATCCGCGTGACTTTACTGACTGCGTTTGCCAATTCAGTGGTGAATAATACTCGCTTTTGTCCGAGCTCGGCTGGTGTAGAGTGTCCTCCAAGAACCAAACTGTCTGCCCCAACCATTCGGATACTTGTTCTCATCGGAGGGAAGATTCTGTCACCCCACAAACAACAACAACACCTTGCATTTATATAGCGTCCTTCACGCAGGACATTCGATCCATGAGTCTGTGCCGGCTCATGTGACAGCAAGCCACCTTCCACTTCAGACACACAGGGAGATTGTGACATGAAACACAGCCTGGTTAGAATATTCTTAAGCATGGGGATTGTATCTAGGGGATTGTTAGCCAGGAACCCGGGAGGAAGAAACCCCTTTCTCCTTTCGAATAGTCCCGACCGGGGACTTTGAACCCACATCCTCTCACTCACAGAAGAGAGTGATGCCAAGTGAGCCAGAATCACACTCACAAAACCAACCCAAATGGATGCAAAAACTGCGTCAACGTCCAGAATGAAAACGAACGCTCAATAAAATGTCATCCAATTTCCAGACAAAACTCAAGTGTGCAGCTGGAAAAACTAGATACCGGCTCATGAATGGGCATTTAATGGGACGCCCTTTAGTAGATATTTAAGGGTTCTATTTCAGGAAATCGTACAAACAATTTCCCAAAGCACTATGTGTCATTAACCTTTTATAATTTCACACATAATCGCTGGCTGTGGTTAATGAGGCGAGGGCTGGCAGTGCTGGAATATGGAACACTCTCTGATCGGAACATTGCACCGATGCGCCGGGAGCTCAAGTGAAGCGCACAGGAATTGCAAAACTAATCTTGGATCCACACAGTCCCAGTGCCCATCTAGCTCTCCATCAAGTGCAGAGGAGAAGGGATATTAAAATATAGTTTGATCACTTGTCTCCTCATCGTGCATTCCTGGTTCACTATAATTGGCAGCTCTTCGATGTGTTCTTTTATAATCCCTCAAATTAGATACCAAAGGACAATTAATAGCAAACCCCTCAGGAACCGGCATCTAATTGATACCCAAATGAACTAGGCCATCTATTCACCGCCAGTAAAAAAAAATCACACAGGAGATGGGAAGACAGCAGTCCCATACAGTACAATTGACATTTCTATAGTGCCTTTCACATCAGAAAGATGTCTCAACCGGGCACCCAAAAACTACCACACTGACTGTGCCTCTAGCCATCTCCTCACCCCCCCCACCCCGCCCCACCCGCACTCAGCATCTGTAAAGAGGCCCCAAGACATGGGGATAGCTTTAAAAATGCAAGTTGTTGTTGTTGTAGTTCTTTTATCAAGGACACCGAGAAAGTCTGGAGCAGTCTAGTTTGAAGCAGAACAAGGATATTAATAATAATAATAATCCTTGCATTTGATATGGCGCCTTCGTAGAATCATAGAATCGTACAGCACAAAAAAAGTGTGTGGGGCCCAAAACTGGGCGCAGTATTCTAACTGAGGCCTAAC